TTAGATGAGGAAAATGGGTGAATCCAGGGTTCAGGGAAATTCGGTAACTTTATCTAATGGTTTGGGGTGTCAGGTACTTCCCCTTGAATGCTGCTCTTTCCTGGGTCGGGCCACCTGTTCCAGAGTACTGCTTTGTCAGGTTCTACTTGCCCCTTTTGTGATTTTGATATGCATATTATCATTGTCCTTGCCTGTGGAACTTTCCAGCTCCATCTATAAAAACTAGAAACCTCATGGAGATTTACTCTTCTTCTCCTTGCTACTTCTACTTCTTCCCCCTTACTCTCCTTTTTTTTCTCCTTTTTCTATCTCTTACTCTTCTTATTCTTCCTCTCCTCTGTGCCCCATTCACTTCATTTTTCCCCTTGCACAAAAAATAAAGAAGATGCAGAGGTAATGTACTTGAGTTAATTTTTACCCTCATATCCTGCCTGCCATACACATCCAGTTCTGAGCTCTGAGGGGGTACTGAGTCTGGTACTCAAGCCCCCCCCCATAAGTATCTCAGTTCACTTCCTGTTGCCTTTGGGTTAATATGTAGAATTCTCAGCTTCCTCTCCATCACTGTCTGCCTGCATGCCACAATGTTCCATCATGATAACGGACCTCATTAAAAGTTTTCCTTTATAAGAGTTTCTATGGTCATGGTGTCTCTTCCCAGCAATAGAAACCCTAACTCAGTCATGTAGGAATTTAATCTGATGCTGTATGTTAATTCAGTGATAGACCGTCTGACACATTGCAGACACCCTGTACATGTGACCTGTTTGCATTTCTCCTGTACAAGGCTCTACATGTATGTAATTGCAGTTGCATGTGTGTGTCAGGGACCTGCACTGGCCAGAGCTATACCATTCTGGGAAATAGTTTCCCACTGCGTGGGTTTCCTGCACTCTGTTGAGATACTCAGAAGATATGATCTTCAAGAGTAGGGTTAAGAAAGGGGAACCACGCAGGGTTTGGTTCCTGGCTCAGCTCAGTGACTTCTTCCTAAGAGACGGGACATTTGGCGCGTGGCCGTGCAGTGTTCAGCATCTTCCAAACAGTGGCAACTGAGTTGCTAAAACTCACAGGACAGCATCGTGGAGGTCATGACACTCTCAGAGAAGCTACAGAACCTCCCATGCTTGCTTGCTTCCTTTCTTTCTTCTGTCCCCAAACAGGAAACAGAGTTCTGCCTTCACAACTCTGTGACTGGTCTCGCTGCTTTTTTCCTGGCAGACCTGAACTCCAGCCATACACTGTTGTTTAGGTGGTTGCTTCACAGCCCAAAAGAAACTAGCCCAACCTAAGCCAAGTTTCTTTTTTCCCCCTCAGTTCATATAATTTATTACAGTTAGCACACAACTTGAAAAATTCACCAGCACACCAACAGTATGAAATGAAACAATGTTGTAAGTTATTCCCCACAGTGGTCAAAGCTTGAGGTCAGTCCAAGGTTTAGAACAAAGGAAGAATGTGAAACTATGGGAAAAGCAATCATTTGCTTACAATGATCCTAAGCCAGATTTGTTAAGCTTTCATAAAACTCCATGCTTCAACTCCTTCACTGGGTACCCTCTTCCACAGAGCATCACTTGTCCACCACAGCCTCCTCTGTGCACAGGTTCTCTGGATAAATGTGTGTACCACCACCTTGGCATTCTTTCTTTGGAATCCAAACTCACTCCATTTGGCAATACCTGTGGGTTCCTGCTGCCTCTTTGGGGGTAATTCTAGCCATAGGTTCAGTGGGACCTAGTAGAAGCCAAATTAAAGAACATGACCTCATCAAGTGATGTTCAGTGGCTATGGACCTGCTCTGGGGCATGTAAGATACTTCCTGGAGGTCCCAGGAAATACTTGAAGCTATCCATCAAGGGCTGCTAGCCTTCAGAACTTGAAACTCAGAGGGCACTGAGCAATGCTGCTGGGCTTAATTGTTAAGAAAGCCAGGATGCCCACTGCCTGGAGAGACAGTGGATGTTGAAATCTCATTAGGAGCTAAAAGGTCAGTAAAATATGAGCTTGTGGTGGGAAAATGGTAAATTGCAGACCTAAAAAAAAAAAAAAAAAGGTGTGTAGGGTGCCTGGAGAGATGGGCTAGATTCAATGACTGCATGGTGGCTCACAACTCTCTGTACCTCCAGTTCCAAGGTCTTTGGCATCCTCAGATATACACGAGGCAAAACACCCATGCCAAGAAAGACAAGAAAGGAAGGAAGAAGGAAGGAATAAAAGTAAGTTATGAGAACCTTAAATTTCTAGCTTTTAAAGCTTTCGTTCAGGGTTCAGTTAAAGATGCCAGGATGAGCTAAAGGGGGGATAAAAATCTGAGGGAAAGAAGTCTACTCACAATAGGTTTCTTCTATCCATGATTCTCTATTCTTCTTTCTTCAATCCATCGTTTCTCATTGTCCCTCCTTGTTCTGCCTTGTTCTAACTTATTCTTTGTTCTACCCATTACAAATGTCCCCAGTCATATATACCCTTAAAACCAGCAATCCCCAGCCCTAGCAAGTTCCAGGGCTGGAATTCTTTTCCCCCATAAAATCCGGTAAGAACACACACACACACACACACACACACACACACACACACACACACCCAGATCCGTGCATGTCCAGTGAACTCCTTAATGGAGAAAGTTAGTTAAGAAAGGAAATCCTCAGGGGATTCTAGAAGGGAAGGTTAGTGTGCTAGGCTACATTTTCAGGTGGTGGATAAAAATGCTAAAAGATTTATTTGATAAGATAGCACATAAACCACACACTGCAGTTTCTGCGGCCTAGGTCTGAGTTTAGACTTACTGCTCTAAGCAGAGACCTGGGCCTCTAAATTATCAGTTCCGGGCTACGCTGTTATCAGCCGTTCTGCTTGTGGGGTAAAACCAGAACAGCAGCCTGGGCAAGTAGTAGTAATTCTGGACCCTAAAACTGACCAAATGCCTGCTGATAAAGATAATTGCAGGAAGGCAGATCTTTGCGTTTACCTAAGGGGAGGGGAGCTGAGGCCTGGTAGTGGAAACCTGTTTTCACATAGCCCAAAGGTGCAAGAAACAGTTCTGAACTGTGGGACCAATTCCCAAATATGTAACAGAAGGGAAGTCAGTTATAGCAAAGAATCTACAGCCAAGGACAGCCACTTTATTCACAAAGCAGTAGCACCAGGAAGTCTTGCTTTTGGTTTAGTCTTTATCATAACCCTTGGTTCTGACAAGTCGTTCATAAAAAGATGGCTGAGCAATTACTATATAATGTTGTGGCCTGGGGAGGGAGGGAGGGAGGGAGAGAGAGAGAGAGAGAGAGAGAGAGAGAGGGGGGGGAGGAAAGAGGGAAGGGAGAGAGAGAGAGAAAAGAAGGAAGAAAATAAAAAAATGGGAATAAGAGTGGGCGTGGCTTAAAAACCTTGAAAACCTTTGTAGTTAACTCGCAATCTTCTAACAGACTTTAGGGAATTTTGTCTTCTCTTCTCCTTTCCTCTCCTCCTTTTTTTCTTCCTTCTCCTCCTCCTTCCTTTCTCTCTCCATCCCTCTCTCACTCCCTCCATCTCTCCCCCTCCTTCACCTTTTTCTTTGTTTGTTGGAAACAGGGTTCCCTGTAGCCCAGACTGGCTTTGAACGTGGACTGTTACTATGTAGCCGAGGATATTCTTGACCTTCTTATCCTCCTGTCTCCACTTTCCAAGTGTTGGGATCATGAGTATGAGCCGCCATGCCTGGGTTTTATGTGAGGTTCTGGGGAGTTTCCTGTATATGAACCAAGCATCTCACAGCTGCCCACATTTCCAGTCCTGTGTTCTAGCTTTCGCTTAGGAATTGTTATGTTACTAACTACATTGTTCTCTCTCCCTTCACTCGCCATGAACACACACACACACACACACACGCACGCACACACACATACATACACACACACACATACATTTACTTATTTTTAATTTTGGGGGTGTGCATGTGAGTGGAGGTGCCCTCAGAGACAGAATGGGCATGAGTCCCTGAAACTAAAGTTCTAGGTACTCTAAGCTGTGCAGAGAATATGAATGCTCTTAACTGATAAGCCCCCTTTCTAGCCTTACATTTTTACTATTAAGAATTCTAACTATTTTATACAGGTGCTAAAAATTCGATCTTATATTAAAATTCACTCAAATCCAACTTAGTTAACTGTTTCTCTGCCTTATATGTTTTTTTGACAGATTTTATAAAAATGTGAATTTTTCTTTCTTAGGACCCAAGGTGATTTCTAATTATAGAACTATATACTAATTATGCATTAGCGAACACTTAAGGAAGGGCAGCCAGTTACTTGCTACTGATTTCATTTATTTTGCTGAGAAAATGACAGTGTCTTTTTGTGTTTTTCTGAGACAGAGTTTCTTTCTGTAGCCCTGGCTGTCCTGGAACTCGAACTGCAGACCAGGCTGGCCTCGAACTCAGACCTTCACCTGCCTCTGCCTTTCGAGCCAGGTGTCAGCCAGGTGGTGGTGGTGCACACCTTTAATCCCAGCAACTGGGAGGCAGAGGCGGGCGGATCTCTGTGAGTTTGAGTCCAGCCTGATCCACAAGAGCTAGTTCCAGGATAGGCTCCAAACTATAAAGAAACCCTGTCTTGAAAAACCAAATAAATAAATAAATAAAATAAAAAACAAAGAAAAGAAAAGAAAAGAAAAGAAAATGACAGTGTCTTCCATTCAGAAAATGTACAAACAATCCGCTATGTCAGAGGTATTACCAAGGTTCCCACTAGCTTGCTTGTCTCCTGAAACTTCCTGATGTTTAATGCGTAGTTCTCTGTACAGAGACTGGCTTTCTACTGAAAGTCAGACATGGTGGCACACGTGGAGGCAGACAGATCTCTGTGAGTTTGGGGCCAGCTTGGTCTGCAGAGTTCCAGGATAGTCAGTGCTTTGTAGAGACACTCTGTCTCAAACAAACAAGCAAGCAACAAAAGAAAAGAAAATAGAAAATAGATTTAGTAAGCATTTTAATATCTCAAACAGGATGCCCATTTTGTGGAAGCATCAAAATTCAGAAAAAGGCAATAAACTTGAAAATTGTATTAACACTTAGGTACTCAGAGGGTGACCCTTCCTCATAGGGCTTTGAGTCCATTTGAGACCTGGCGACCACATAACATCAGATAAGAGGGAAATAAACTTCAGAAAATGCAAGATTTGAAGTCTGCTCCTTTAAGTCCCTCTCTCCCTGGGAGAAGATTTGAGAAATTTGGGTCTTGGTAACCTAAGCAAGTTATCCGGTAATGGGGTCTATGTTTCTCAGGGCCAAAAAGGTCTGTAGCTTGTGATCGAAGTCGATGGCTCGAAACTGAGGCTCCTTGTACTTCCGGGTCATCTTGGCACTGAGGTATGTTATGAGTTCACATCTTTCCAAAAACTTTTCCATCTTCTTCTTGTATTTTTTTCTTGAATATTCAGAACCTTTGGGATTAAAGGCTGTAGAAAATGTCACCAAGTTATGAATGCTTTCTGATAAGGTGGTTAGTAAGCCATTCAACAAGGCAGAACTTTGTGTGTAAGTAGGCCACCCAGCTAAGGGGAAGATGGTCCCATCTTGGATAAGGTTAGAGGGCCACTATCTTAGACCGTAATTTTCTGTGTTCACCTTTATTATGGCATGGATTTTTGAGTGTTGACTATATTATTTATGACCCTGAGTCTCACATGCACTAAGCAAGTGCTCTACCACTATGCCCAGACCTCTGCTTTTTTTTTTTTTTTTTTGAGATAAGGCCTCACTGTGTAGCCCTGGCTGTGTAGACCAGGCTGGCCTTGAACTCACAAGAGATCTGCCTGCCTCTGCCTCCCTCCTCTGCTGGGATTAAAGGTGTGTGCCACCGTGCCTAGTTTAAACTTGTTTTTGTGGCAGGGTCTTCCTCAGTGGCCAAGGCTGTAGTGGAGCTCACTCCATAACCCAGGCAGGCTTTGATCTTGGAATCCTCCTCAGCGGCCTGCGCAGCTGGGATTTTATGGGCCTGTGCTACCAGGTGCAGTTTATAGTGCTTGACTTAAAAACTGGCAATTTCAGTTCGATGTTTTCATTTTTCACCTGTGTTTCATCTGCCCCTTCCCGGACAAGGAAATAATAACCAGCCCAGTCTGCCACTCATGGGCCAAGTGCTGAGCGCCTCTGAGTGGTGGTCATTTAGAAAGCTTACCTTTGAGATGAAACCCTATGTAGAGGAGGACAGACCGCCTCACGCTTAGGAAGGGGAACTTGGGCTTCAGGCATCCCGCTGCATTCAAGGCTTTGATTAGGGAAGTTGCTGTACCCTGAGGGAGGCAACAGTTGAAGTCAGTGCGTAGATGAGTTCCCATTCTTAATACAGATCAGTAAAGGCCTGATTCTTTTCATCACATAGCCTTTCCTGGGATGGGGTGCTTAGGTGGCCATCCAGCCAACAGGAAAGAAACACAAACTACACTTGCAGAGGGGAAATGAAATATAAGCTGGCATCATGCCAGCTGGGGGAGGGCTGCATGCCTGGGCTTCAGTGCATGACGGCCTCTGTTCATATGGCTGACATTTTCTGTAACATAAAGTTAGAAAGGAAAGATGGGGACGCGGAGCTCTGAGTGGCTTTGGCTCATCTCTGCTTGTGTGGTCGCATGGGCAGCCTGCCTCCCACTCTGCATCCTTGGCCACATGACAAGGAATCCAGAGACCACAGTGTCACTGCAGCCAAATTCCTAGAGCTGCGAAGGTGAAAGAGGCCTCCTAATAAAACAGGCCTGTGACAAGACTCCTCCCCAGTGGTCCTCCCTGGCACATGTAAAACAGGCCTGTGACAATCTCCTCCCCAGTGGTCCTCCCTGGCACATGTAAAACAGGCCTGTGACAATCTCCTCCCCAGTGGTCCTCCCTGGCACATGTAAAACAGGCCTGTGACAATCTCCTCCCCAGTGGTCCTCCCTGGCACATGTAAAACAGGCCTGTGACAATCTCCTCCCCAGTGGTCCTCCCTGGCACATGTAAAACAGGCCTGTGACAATCTCCTCCCCAGTGGTCCTCCCTGGCACATGTAAAACAGGCCTGTGACAATCTCCTCCCCAGTGGTCCTCCCTGGCACATGTAAAACAGGCCTGTGACAAGACTCCTCCCCGGTGGTCCTCCCTGGCTTGATGGCATTATGCCAGATGGAAGCCAGCTTTCTCCCCATCTCTCCTTTGGTTTTTCTCTCAGATTTTTATTTTTCAGGCAGTCTTGCTCTGCAGCTCAAATAGCTACCATTGCAAGCTAACTTTCTAGGCAAATTGAAAACCAAAACAAAACAAAGTGTTTAAGAAGTTGTAATAAACCTGTAAAATTGTGGTTTTGGCATTTATCCTGAAGAACTAGAAAGCAATAACTTCAGGAGACTAGTGAGGGGCTCAGTAAGTAAAGGTGTCTGCAAGCCTGGTGACCTGAGTTTGACCCTAGGAACACATGTAAAATTGGGAGGAGAGAACCAACTCTGTAGAGTTGTCACCTGGCCTCTACACACACACACCATGACACATGTCCCCTCCCGTCATGGGCAGGGCACGCACATTCATGCACAAATAATAATTTCAAAATTAAATTACTTTGAAGCTGGGCGATGGTGGCGCACGCCTTTAATCCCAGCACTCGGGAGGCAGAGGCAGGCGGATCTCTGTGAGTTCGAGACCAGCCTGGTCTACAGAGCTAGTTCCAGGGTAGGCTCCAAAGCCACAGAGAAACCCTGTCTCGAAAAAGCAAAAAAATAAAAGTAAAAATAAAAAAATTAAATTACTTTGAAACAGAAATTGACTAGTGACAAATGTTACTATTTTAAAAAAATAATTATATAATTATATCTGGATGAAGCAAATGTGGTTTGAGTAATTTCACGTGGATTTGGGATAAAACATGGGTTTTGTAGTTCACCTATCCTGGAATTCTTTTGTGGAGTAAGTTAACCTTTGGCAGGCCAATGCAACATTCCAAATCATTAAAAAAGAAGGAGAAGGAGGAGAAGGAGGAAGATGAGGAATAAAGAGGAGGAGGAGAAATCAAACTAGGCATCCAATTTACATGTGAGTAGTTTTAAGACCGCCCATCCCCCCTCGCTGGGGTACTGACCGCCTATCCCCCCCCCTCGCTGGGGTACTGACCGCCCATCCCCCCTCGCTGGGGTACTGACCGCCCATCCACCCCTCGCTGGGGTACTGACCGCTCATCCCCCCCTCTCTGGGGTAGTGCTGTTTCAGGCATTGGTTATAGGAGTTCACAGCTTTCATTTTAACAACCACCCGTAAATGAAATAGTTAAAGAGTGCTTTACAACTTAAAATCGGGAAATTTTGCCTGGAACCCCAGTTATAAAAGCAGAAGTTATTGTTAGAAGAGACCCCTGCATTCTTGTAACGTGTATGTGTATTGTAGAAAATCCCTCAACAGAACCTGTTCCAGATACCCAGGCAAAGGGAGACTGGTGAGGTGGATGGATTCCTTTAGCGGAGGAAGCTTGTGTGGGAGCTTCTGGTCCCAGTAACGCATCGGCAGCCTGTGGATACAAAGATCGTTAGACGCATGTGCACACACATCCATGCAGAGCATATAGACGCAAATGTGAGACAAGGCTCACTGCCTGCTTTGCCTCCTGGAGAAAATTTACACAAGGGAGAAGACTAGGGGTTCTAGCAGCTTCTTTGATTTTCGATTTCCCACAATCGTGTAACCTACTCCACAGCTAAGAACAACTTCGAACTCCTAATTCTGCTCCCACCTTCTGAGTGCTGGGAATGAGCCACCATGCCTGGCTCCGGGGTTCCAACCTTGATCACCTCTTTATCAGATTTCTTAATTTTCGCAGCGACTATATAAAACTTTTTCATTCTTCTGAAAAATTTGAATTATCTAAGTGGCGCCTTCATTCCCGAGATGAATAAATACCCCTGTGGCCAAGGTGGAGGACACTGGGGTGGTGGCAGGAGGGGTGACCAGTGGAGAGAGGAGGGCCTAAGGGTGGGAGCTCCAACCTGCCTCGTATATTGTTTAGGATTGCTCTATTAACCTCTAAACACCGTTTCTGCCTCCACCCATTCCTGACATCTCATGGAAGATCTTATTCCTAAGCAAAACTGATTTTAATACTGGCCTAGCTTACAAGCCGGCAATACACGCTATGGCTCATAGGATCAAGTCTAAATGAAATGCTGTTTGGTGGTGTTGCTTGAACCTCTGTATGCTACCCTGCTGACCTCCAGCCCTGCCACATCCAGACAGGCTGACTTTCCTACAGTTTCTGGGTCTCCAGGGACAGGTTGTTTGTGGGTCCATTAGCTTGGCATCTGGCCCTTTATCCCTTATTCTAGTCTATTCCTGGTCCTTACTCAGACAGTCCAATCATACCAGTGTGCTAGACCCTTTCTCACTCTTTGGGCCAAAAGATTCCATTATTATGGCAGGGCAGTGGTGGCGCACGCCTTTAATCCCAGCACCTGGGAGGCAGAGGCAGGAGGATCTCTGTGAGTTTGAGGCCAGCCTGGTCTACAAAAGGAGTTCCAGGACAGCCAAAGATACACAGAGAGACTCTGTCTTGGAAAACCAAACCAAACCAAAACATTCTATTATTATCAGGTACTCAAAAATCTACCATTTGTTCTGGAGTTTTATGCTTTGGGACAAAGCAGTGCTTATCCACTCTCCCTTTGTGTGTGTGTGTCCCCGTGTCTGTGTGTCCCTTCCCTTTTCTTCCACAGTTCCAAGAACAGTAGATGGGGCATAGAACATGATAAATATTTACAATTGGCGAATAATCTCACCTCAAAAATTTCTGCAGCTTTTCTTCACTCTCGCAAATAAATATACGATCCCGATACTCTACGGCATATTGAATGTTACCAGGCACCAGGGCGTCATATCTGAAAAACGAAAAACGAGACAAAACAAAACAAAAACCATGGTGTAATTAATACATGTAGCTTTGTAATTAATATCTTAGCATTGATATGGAGTACTATATAAATAAAATGCCAAAAATGTGTCATTTTTTCTGCTTCCGCAGCTCAAGTAAGAAAGGACTGTTTCCCCAGGTGATCAGCATGGTAAGACTGTTTCTTCGTGAATTGGAGAGGTGGCTCAGAGGTTAAGAGCGCTTGCTGCTCTTGAGAAGGACAGGACTTGGGGTTCCCAACATGTTTATCCCATGTTGGGTGAGTCCCAATGCCCATAGCTCTAGTTCCAGGGGATCAGATGTTCTCTTGTGGCCTCAGTGGGCACCTGCATGCACACGGTACACACACACACACACACACACACACACACACGAGATTAAAAATAAATCCTTAAAAACAGTCCCATGGACCCATGGTACTGAGCAGGGGTGTGGGTCTGTCCTGCAAATATGAGGGCTTGCCTTTGTTTTCCGTCAAGGTAAGTCACTGGGCAGTAGCCTTGGAGCTCAGCACACTTGGGAAATCGACTCTTGAGCTCTGACAGGGTCAGCCTTTTGGGGAGCATGGCAGCAGGTGGGAGTGGATGAGGTGCCAAGGGGGGCACGTACAATTCTGGGTTCATCAGAAATTTCTATTAAGAAAAGAGGTACGACAGCAAGAGCATTTAAAACAGCAATAATACACCAATCAAAATCATTTCCCATTTCAGTAGCCTTTCAAGCCACCTGAGAGAAGCTATTGTAACTTCTCCTGTAAGAAGTTCTGCAGGATAATAATCCCAAGCAACCAAAGGTCTCCTCTTACATAGTATTATTTTAGTTCCTATTCTATGACAAGGACTAGAGAGTCCTTCGTCACCTGCCAGTCTACCTGTGCCCTTTAGGGCTCTCCTGTGTCAACAGTTGCTCTGAAGGATGCAAAGGCACAAAATATCTGCCAGGACTTCTGTTTTGAAAATTCTGTGATTATTAAGATATAAGTAGGAAAGAAGTATGATATAAGGAAAGAAGCACCCCCAAAGTAAAGAAATTAAAGTTCTTATTCTCTGGAGGAAAATAAAATATTCAGATTAGTTTTCATTATTGTCTTCCGTTACAAACCATTATGTGTCATCAAATCACAGGTATCAAAATATTGGAATCAATATCTGGTTAGACTTTTGAATCAATAGGTACAAGTAGTCCATTCTCCATATCCGTGGCCTGTGCAGCCTCAGATTCAGGCTGGAGGGGTTCAGGAAAAAGACTAGTTCTTTACTGAACTTGTCTGCCTTTTCCCTCGCACAAGTCTCCAACAACACAGCCTAGCAACTATTTACAAGCTTTTTACATTGCATTAGATAAGCCATCTACAAGTGTTTCCATGGATGTGGGAGGGTTTGCATAGGTTAGGTTATATGCAAATGCTACCTGCTTTGTAATTGAGCACCCATAGATTTTGGCAGCCTTGGAGGGGATGTCCTGAAACCAATCCTCACAGATGCTGGGGATAACTAGTGCTGTTTTATTTACTTATTTTTTAAGTATGGAAGACATCAATTCCATACTTTGCTTCATTCCTACTGACTTTGGCTTTACTCCCTCATCTCTTGAAGCTGAATCCCCTGGTATTTTTCTGTGGACTGAGTCTAGATGCTTCACGCTCCCTCCATTGGGGAGACTCAACTGTTGACTTTCCCTGCCTGATAAGTAACCCAAGACCCACCACTGGCCAAAGCCTTCAAAATGTTTCTGGGGCTGGGGCAGTCCAGGGCTACTCTTTGAGTTTCTCTCTGATCCCAGAGTTACAGGTTCCAATAATTGGGTTCTTGGTTCCAATTTTCTAAGTATTCCCAAGGGTGCCTGTTCTTCTCATCAAGACAAGTAATTTTCCTTCCTTAATAAATATTTAGATAAGAAACAAACTTACGTTTAGCTTTTCTTGAGAACCCATTTTATAATAGTGTCCTCTGAACTCTGCTGCGAATTCCAAGCTGTTAGTCACAGAACAATCAACTAACTCATAAGACTCTGCCAGGCTGACGGGGCAGAACTGCCCAAACTCTCCCAGACGAGAAATCAGCTCTTCAGGCGTGATACATAGTTTGTCAATGCAAGCAGCTTTCCCTGTTATTAACATATTAGTTATTGTATATTTTCACAGGAAATGTAATGGTTAAAAAGTAAAATAATTTCAGTTAGACACCACTATATTAACAGTCCACAGTCTCACATTCTAAACGACAGAGTGAAAAGTAAAGTTACTATAAATGCATATGGTGGTGGAAGTCTACAATCCCAAGTTCTGGAGGCTGAGGCAGGGGGATTACCACAAATTCTGAAGCAGCCTGGGCTACACAAAACCTCTCTCAAAACAAGCAAGCAAACTAACGAAACAAAAGTTATTCTTCATGCCTACACCCTCTCAGCCTACTACCCATCCTAAGCAGTATCCACTATTGTGTTTATGCCTTTTAAAATATTTTTCTATACATACTTACATATAAATACATATATGTGTGTGTGTTTTTTGCATATAGTGTATTCATGCCATTACTATAAACATTATTTTGCAACTTATCAGTTGCTTATCTTTGACATCTTTCTCTGTTGACTCAATTCTGTAGATATGTTTAATCTTGGTTTGTTTTTGTGTTCAAGAGACATGTTTTTATTCTATGTATCCCAGGCCTTGACCTTGTGGTCATCTTATGTCATTATATTAGGGCTCCCCCATGCCCGGCCACCTAGTTCCTTCAAATTTATGCATAGCAAATTCTACTATACAAACATATAAACTATAAGACTTTTAACTTATGTATGTATATATGTGGTTTACTTAAATATTTGTCTTTCTTGTGTATTTTCATTCTAGTTTTTAGGTATTATCAATTATATACAAATAATAGTTATATACACATATTTTGTATAATTCAATACTTACATATACATACATACATCTGTATGAATGGGCATACACACACATCTATGTTCTAACAAGTATTTCTACCCAATTCTGATACTAACTGCTAGTCCAGTGACCATAGCCCTCTTTCAGTGAGGTGGGCATTGAAGAACATTGTCTTATTGGCTGCCATCTTTCACTGACCTCCTGAAAGCAAGGAATGACCAGTGTGGCCTCGGCACCCTTCCCAGAAAGGTCCTTAGACTGTACACTGCTGGAATCTAGGATTTTCCAAGTGGCGACATCTGTGGCCTGACTGAGTCAACAAAGCTGAACTGGACTCCTTGGCTCCACTTCTGATCTCCACGAAACTGGATACCAGCCATGAACTGTGACCACTTCAATAGGTCCTGGTCCACTCGGAAGAGTTCAGAGTAGCAACTGGCAGGGTCTCCTAACATCTTTGTATCTTTCAGGGCTCAGAGGTTTCTGGAGTAGGGTTACTTGCCTAATACAAAGTGATGTTGTTACTTGCTACCTAATTTCCCCAATTCCTCTGTTAATTTGAACATAAGTCTGACTGTGTCACTGATTATTTATCACTGACTGAACAGAACTCTGATTGGTTCGCTGTGTCCTTGTGCTATGAACATCAATCACTGCAGGACACAGACTGGCCTGTTCAGTCACGCGTCTGGTGCTGCTGTGAATTCGTGCCTGCCCTGTTGTTCATACCTTAGAAATTGTTCCCTTTGGATGTGAATATTAGTTTCTAATGAAAAGGATATACCAAAAGCACCTGCCTTTAATACCAGAACACTGGAGGTAGAGGCAGGTGGATCTCTGTGCATTCAAGACCAGCCAGGGCTACATAGGGAGATGCTGCCTGGAAAAACAAACAAACAAACAGAAATACTGCAAAGTTAGCTTAGTTTTCTAAGCTGAACTGTGGTCTCAAAAGAGACATTGAAGGATTCACAGCATCTTTGAATGTAGTCACTTTTGAGAACAGAGTCAGATGGACAAAGACACAGAGGAGCATGGCATGTGACAGACAAAAAGAATGACAGGCAAGAGATAGGGTTGTCATGGTGACTCTGAAGCCAACGATTGTTGGTTATGCTGGAAACAAAGAAGAAGGCATGAAGATGACCCTCCCATAAAGTCCTCAGAGAAAGCATGACACCGCCAACACCTTGGTTTTGAACTTCCAGCCTTGTGAATTCTGACATGATACATTTCTGTCTTTTGATCCACTCAGTTTTTCCTTGTAGCCCTAGGAAACTAAAACAATTCCAAAGGCCCGGGTCTCTGTCATGCTGGCAGTCTGCTTTCCCTTGCCTTTTCAAAGGCTTGTTCCCCTGCAAGACTGCCTGCTGGTGTGGTGGTGAGGAGTAGGAAGCCAGGGTTCGAGGCCAGCCTGAGATACATGGGCAGTTAATAAATAAACAATTATCCAATTGATGCTGCCATTTCAGGCATGACTAAGGAGAGAGTTCTAGGGTCATAGAAGCTTCCACCAAGATTTTAGAAGAGGGCTTGGAAGCCAAGCAGTGTGTGGCGAACTCAATCAACATCTCTCCAGATGGCTCCTGAGACTGTGTTGCTTGAAGTTGAGATGGGGGCGGGGGCTATTAGAAACAAGTACCCAAACCGAGTGGATTACGTGACAGAAATGTATTGTTGAAAATAACACAATAAATGTGCAGGGATGTTAGGGATGCCAAGGATATGGAAGGTCTGCTGAGGAAAGCTGAAGATGGAGCCAGCCCAAGAGAGAGGTCATGTGGGCCACACATGGGTATCCTCGGGGTGGGAGGGGCTGCTGTGGTTTCAGATGTTGGACATAGAGCTGTGGATGTATCATTTGGTCTCATAATATCTTGCTAGGCTCCTATCTATCCCTCCCTTTCTTTTAGACACCTGAGGTTGTTCTCTGGCCTTCATTCTCTCTCTCTCTCTCTCTCTCTCTCTCTCTCTCTCTCTCTCTCTCACACACACACACACACACACACACGTATACACATACACATAATAACTTACCTTCCTTTATTTTTTCCATGTATGTCTGTATGTATTTATTCATCTGCTGGATGTCTTTAATGACTTCATTCCACACCCACCACTTACTGTGAAATCCATCAATCACATGCCAGTTTTGATGCTGTTCTTGATAAAACTGCCTGATCTCACTGACATTTTTACGGTACTTGGCATTCTTGTAAGCTATAATCTGTGTGCTGTTGTGCAGTGGATAAGGCGTACTAAGAAGAAAACAGGGCAGGGGTGGAAAAGTTGTTGAAGGCCTGCGACATCCCCTGTATACATGGTCAGGGTCACCCCAGTCCCACAGTTCCCTCAGGAAGATTACCTCTGCTCCATCTTCCTCTCGAAGAGCAACCTCTTGAATATCTCCTTGGATGGCACGTCCAACTCAAAGATGACCATGGGAATGATTGACCTCGTCTCCAAGATATTCATCTGGTTTGTGGTTACAGGGTAGCCATCAATGACCACACTAGCAGACAAACAGAAAAACAGAAATTCCACATTCCTTTTTTCTCATAATTTCCTTATGTCTTCCAGAACAGATCTCTGTCTTTGAGTACTCCTAGGCTTTTCCTTATGACACTGATACATTTTTTTTTGTGTTTTCTCCTCCATCTTTACATCTTAACCCTTAGTCATCTCTAGACATTGAGGTGGGCAGGACACATCCACAGCTTTGGAAGCAGAGGCAGGAGAGCCACATTCATCCATCCATATGCTCAGCACCACACAACTAGGTTTTGGTAGAATTTGGGAAGCACATCTCCTATACCTTGAAAACTCCGTATTCCTGGTGTTATCACTATAAGCACAAACAATAGAATGAATACAGGCAGGCCTAGATTTGAAACCATGTCTTGGTTTTTAGCAAAATAGGAGAAAATTCTATTTACCCCTTTGGGCGGTTTTAAAGATAGGGAGCAGGTGTGAAAAGCACTGGAAGAGGGCAATGCATGGACCAGATGCTAAGTGAGCAGTCATGTGTGCTCTGGGAGGAGATGCTCTTGCTGTAGAAGATTGGGGAATTTGTGAGGTATTTGGTATGGAGAGCTTGTGAGGCCTGCCACACATACGTGAGAACAAAAATTATGAGAAGTACAGCCCAACAGTCAGAGATAACAAGATTGTCTACCAAACTGAAAGGAAACGAAAATTCTTTAAAAATCCAGAAATTCTGAGAGTAGTCTCATAGACAAGTCAGAAAGCTGCTCACATGGCTGGTGGCCATCAGTGAGGATTTATTTGTCCTGAATGACAGGGCCCACTTGCCAATGCTCTCCAACGGAGTGCAGGGCCCAGCAGAGAGGGTAAATGACACAGCCAGCTCACTGTGGTCTGCAAGAGAGTGACACATTGCTTTCTTTTGAACAATACTTCTTTCTACTGGGAAAGGCCATTTGAGTGGCTCTCAGGATTGGGGAAAAGAAGCTAGGGTGGCTGAGCAGCCTTCATCCTGGGATGAAGGTGGAATAACCTGAGACTCAACCAAAGTTGTCCTCGTTGAGGAAAGCTAAGCCCCAGAGAAGAAATAACTCAGTGTGGATATGCCCCTGCTTTTCCCGAAGGCTGTCACCCAAGAGTGCTCCCAGCCCTGAAACTAGAGGGACTAACTCTTCGATGACTTGACTCAAAGCCACTTGCAGAGAAGCCAGGGATTCTAAGTATACAATGATCGTGACTAAGCCAGGGGATTCTAGTGACCTGGATCCCAGACCAAAGAGCATTGGTGTTCGCCGAGGTGTGACCAATAGCTGTAATAGACAAGAAGAAAGATCAGCGAGGACAATGAACTGAGAACGAAGCCACGTATCCAGTGTTCCTGTCTGAATACGGCATTACAGGAGGGGCACGGCTCTCTTTACAGGGACCTGGGCCTGAGAGGAATCATGTGCCTGGGACCACATCACCCGAGAACTAAAGAGGGCCCTTCCACCCTTCCATGGAGCAGCAAGAACTATTGGGGGTAAGAAAGTCACAGTGGCTTCATCTGTGGACCATGCAGGAGTTGCTGAAGGGAGTAATGAGGTCTTTGGGCTAATCTGCCACGAGTTCAAGCCATGAATCTTGACAGGAAAAGAGAATGTCTCCATGTTAAGTGCTCAGTCTGAGAAGCACCCTGGCAGTTACGCCCTCTCCCCTTTCTTCCGCCCCAGCTCCCTTACCCTATAGTATTGCACACACTTTCCATCAGGGAGAGGTCTAGAGCTTGAATAGCAAGTGCATCCGGCACTGTCATTCCCTTGTGAAGGTGCCAGTTGATCATGAGTGACAGCTCCGTATCTGGGTGATTGCTTAACATGCTACGCAGCGCGTCTCCTACTGACAGACGTTTTAAGCCATATTCACTTGCAAGCTTCTTGGCAACTGGAAAACACAAAACACGAAGCCTATTTCAGTTCACACATTTGTCAGTCAACCTTGCTTTTGGATTCTGGCTGATGGCACCAATAGCAAGCTTAGCTTCATATTCTTCAAAGAATTGTCAATGCTGTTAGCTTTACTTCAGGCTTGTGACTTTAGAATCTGGTTAATGAACCAACTGGGTTTGTTTTGTTTTCTTTTTAAGGAAAAAATGAATTTATTTTTATTTCATGTGCTTTAGTGTTTTGTCTACAGTGAGGTTATCAGATCTTGGAGTTACACACAATGATGAGCTGCCCTGTGGGTGCTGGGAATTGAACCCAGGTCCTCTGGAAGAGCAGTCAATGCTCTCTGCAACTAAACTCTCTCTCCAGTCCTCTTCTTTCTTCTTCTTTCTTCTTTCTTCTTCTTCTTCTTCTTCTTCTTCTTCTTCTTCTTCTTCTTCTTCTTCTTCTCCTTTTATAATCAAACCAATACTTAAGCAGCTTATTGTTTCTGCATGATGCAGCAAATGAGGTGAAGCACCACGGGAATGCTGTGTGCATTGGTATTTAGTATGCTGCCAAAGAAAACAATGTAACAATCCAGGGGCTGTAGAGCACTGACTGCTCTTCCAGAGGTCCCAAGTTCAATTCCCAGCAACCACACGATGGCTCACAACCATCTGTAATGAGGTCTAGTGCCCTCTTCTGTCATAAAGTCATACATGCAGATAGAGCATTCATATATACATAAAATAAATAAATAAAAACCAATGTAACAAGCCTACTTGACTGGCTTACACCATTCCCCAGTCCACTACACACTGCAATGAAGATATCAATCTCTAACCGATCATGGGTCTCAATAACATTCTAGGAAATAGTTTTTAAAAATCACACAGGCATACTTTACATTTTGTTTTACTTAATTTATATTTATTTTACATGTATGGGTGCTTTGCCTGTGTGTGTGTGTTGTTGTACCATATGTGTGCAGCACCTATAGAGGTCAGAAAAAGGTTTCAGATGCCCTGGGATTGGAGTTATAGATGACTGTGAGCTGCCATGTGTGTGTCTAGAATTGAACCCAGGTCCTCTAGAAGGGCAATCAGTGCTCTTAACCACTGAGCCATCTCTAGACCCCTACTTTACACTTTAATACAGGTTTATAGCTTCGGAGTGATGTGGGATTCCCCTCTGTAGGCAGTGAATACCATTGGTTAAGAAAGAAGCTGTTTTGGGCCTGTGATAGGGTAGAGCAGAACTGGGGGTGGGGGTAAACTGAATGCTGGGAGGAAGAAGGCAGAGTCATGAAGAAGCCATGGAGCCGCTGCCAGAGACAGACATGCTGGAACCTTGTGGGTAGGCCACAAGTCCCATGGTAAAATATAAAATAATGGAAATGGGTTAAATTAAAATGTAAAAGCTAGCCAATAAGAAGTTAGAGCTAATAGGTCAAGTAGTGATTTAATAAATACAGTTTCTGTGTGGTTATTCCAGGAGTCTGGGTGACGGGGAAACAAAAAAGCAGCCTCCTTATTACATAAGAGGAGAAAGAATTTTTCCTGTGAGTTTATTTGATGTTTTAGTGGCATGAAAAATTGAATTCTAACTTTATAGCTTAGAAGAACCAAAGCCCACTATGAATAGATATGGGCCATTGAATAGAACAGATAGAGGTCATTGAATAGGGAGATAGAGGTCATTGAATAGGGAGATAGAGGTCATTGAATAGGGAGATAGAGGTCATTGAGTAGAGAGATAGAGGCCATTGACTAGAGAGGTAGAGGTCATTGAACAGAGAGATAGAGGTCATTGAATATAATAGATAGAGGCCATTGACTAGAGAGGTAGAGGTCACTGAATAGAGAGATAGAGGTCATTGAATATAATAGATAGAGGCCATTGACTAGAGAGGTAGAGGTCATTCATTGGCTGAGAGAGGAGTTTACGGTGACGGTGACTGTTCCCAAGGAACAGGTGAAATCCCAGATTCTGAACCTCAGTTTTCCTACAAACTCTGGAACCAAATGTGCTCAAATTCTAAAACTAAATGTGCTTTCAAAATTAGGCATAGTGCTAAAAGCTACCTTCCATTTCAACAGAGAGGTGAGAAGTCAGATTGTTGTCTATGCTTTTAGCCCTGGGATGGAATTTTATTTCAGATGAGTACATTCTGTTGTGCTTGGTAAATACCATTGTCTTGTAAACATTTAGAATACAACTCTTTTGTCATGTTAAGAAAATTAAAACTTAGAAAACTAAATTTAAAAAAATTTAAATTAAATTTATTTACTATTTATTTGTGTGTGTCTCTCTGTATGCATATACAGAAATATATGTACAAGTGCATGAGCATGTTTGTGTGTGTAAAGGATCTCATGTGTTTCATTCTTTTCTCTCTCTCTCTTCCTCCCCACTTTTTGTGTGTGTATGCATGTGTGTGTGCATGTGCGTGTGTGTCTTTTGAGGCAGGATCTTTCACTGGCCCAGGCCTTTCCAAGTAGGCTAGACTGCTTGGCCAGGGAGCCTTGGGGTTCTGTCTGTCTCTGCCTCTCTATGCTGGGATTACAAAATGTACACCATCTTATCTGATTTTTCAGATGGGTTCTGGAGCTTGATCTCAAGTCCCGTGCCTACAAGGTAGGCACTTTATCCATTGAGGCAACTCCTCCGACCCCTGGACAAAGAATGTAAAAGAATGATGTTTAAAACATCAATATATTAAAAAGGATACCAATAAATGGGTGAAATAAGGAAGACAACAAAGAAGATGAAAGATAAATTCCTTAGAGAGAGAGAAATATGCTAGAAAATGACCAATTGGAAATCTTGGAAATGCAAATCTCAATAAATCAAATTTAAAAGAAATGACTGAAAGCATCAGCTTAAGTGGAAGAGCACCAGAGTTTGAAAACTGAAATTGATGAATTATTATATTCAGAGAACAATAAAGAAAATTAAGAAAGACTAGACAAGACACTTCAGATCTGTAGGACACTATCAAAGGGCCATTTAAGAAATTTGTCAAGTCTTGGGAAAGACAGAGATGGCTAATTATAGAAGACAGAATCCCAACTAGACATAATCAGAACAAAAATTATAATTAAGCATTATAATTCAAATACAGAACAAAGAAAGAATATTAAAATCTTTATGAGAGAAACGTCAAGTCACACAGAAATGTTTCTCTGAAGAAACTCTAAAGGCCAGGAGGGTTTCAGTGAGGAAGTTCACACCTTGAAAGATTATAGATTCTTGTACCCAACCAAATCATCCTTCTCAATAAAAAGAGAAATAAAGACCTCCTAAGACAAGCATGAATAAGGGAGTCCCTAATACTGGAGAGGAATTGGATGAGATGAGCAAGATTCTCAGGGGCAAGAAAGAATCAATTTCACATGAAGAGTAGATAAACAACTGAGAATTAGGAACAAATCAAACACTGCCAATTCAGGAAAGCACCCCAACTCTAGCACAAATAAGACAGAAATGGATACAGATTATTTGAAACAACTAGAATGGAAACAAAGCAGGGTAGAAGTACCACATGCCTTTCAAAGGCATAGGTTTACTGACTGGACTTAAAACAAGTAAGTCCTAACAGTTTGCTGCCTGCAAGAAACTCAGCCAAGGTGTACTTAGACGAAAAGTGAAAGGATAGAAAATAATATTCTAAGCAAAGAATTCTGAAAGCAAGCAAGAGTAACTATATTCATATCTGACCAAACAGAACTCAAGCTAAATTAGTTAGAAGAGACAACGGTTATGTCATATTGATAAAAAGAATGTTATTTAGTTTAATAGGCCTCAGATCTTAGCTCAACTGACTCCACAATGGAAGAGCCATTCAGGCCCTAAAATTCAGCACATAGACATCCCCACCAGCCAAAATGAAAACAAAGACTGGCTAATAAAGACTTTCTACTGGCTTAAACCTATGTCAGAATAGTCTTCTCTGGTGGATAACCCACAACAGCACTAAGTTGGTGGGTAGTAGATCTGAATGTGACCAACACATACTGCATTAAATTCTCAAATAGCTATTTTTTTTTAATAAAAGGACTAATGTGATTTGAATGTGAAATGTCACCAATAGACTTGTGTATTGAACATTTGGTCACCAGCTGCTGGCACTGTTTTGGGAAGTTACTGAATGTTTGGGGTGTGGGGTATGCCAAGTATTTGACACAGTGATAAGAAAGTGACTAACAGGGAACCATCCATCAGGAAGATACAATGATGTGTACCAACTTCCATAAGTCAATGCTATGGGACACAAAGAGAAAGATGGGCCCAGTGCAACAATAGTGGGTCACTTCAGTAGCTCACTGTCAGCAAAAGTCAACAAAACAACACCAGGGTTACAGTATACTGTAGATCAGTGCTTCTCAACCTTCCTAATGCTGTGACCCTTTAATACAGTTCCTCATGTTGTGTGGCCCCATGTGAAGTGACTCTATTTGGAGGTGTGGTTTTGTTGGAGTAGGCATGGCCTTGCCGGAGGAAATGTGTTGTGGTGGGAGCAGCCTTTGGGGTCTCAGAAGCTCAAGTCAGTTTTCTGCCTGCTGCCTGCAGATCAAGAAGTAGAACTCTCAGCTTCTACTCCAGCACCATGTCTGCCTGCATGCTGTCATGTGTCCCACAACGATGATAATGAACAAAACCTCTGAAACTGTAAGGAAGTCCCAATTAAATGATTTCCTTTATAAGAGCTGCTGTGGTTATGGTGTCTCTTCACAGCAGTAGAAACCCTAAGACAACCCCCAACCATAAAATTATTTTTTGTTGCTACTTTATAACTGTAATTTTGCTACTGTTATGAAATATAATGTAAATATCTGATATGTGCTCCCCAATGGGCTTGCAACCCACAGGTTGAGAATCGCTACTACAAGGCAGATGTATGTAACAGACACCAACTGAGGCATAGTATATATTCTTTTTTAGCACATGGAAGTTTTTCCAAAATAGATCGTGCATGAGGCTGCAAAGTAACTCCTAACAATTGCAAACTGAGATAACTCCCAGTGTCTCAGGTCAGAAGGGACGAAACATTAGAAATCACAGGAAGAATGGCTACATGAATTATACAAACACTTGGAGATCAGCCATGTTTCTAATGAAAATGGTACCGCTGAAAGAGAGAAAAGGGAAACAGGAAAAGATTGTAGAGTCACATGAAAATGGAAATGTAACCACCAGGACCTGTGAGAAATGGAAACAAAAAACCAAAACCATAAAAAATCAGTACCATAAGGAAAACTTATAGCTTTGAGTATTTTGATGTTGTGTTGAGCTGAACTACCTTCTTGCCTCCCACGGATCACCTCTCTGCTGGTCATGGAGGTCCCAAAGGCCCCTGCATACATCAGTGAGTTAGAAAATGGATGATTTCTGGACACATAAACTACCAAATTTTAATCAAGAGGCAATGGAAAACCAATGTAAATCAACAACCAAGAATGGGACTGGAGCAGTAATAAAAAATCTCCAAAGAAGAAAAGCCCAGTACTGGATCCATGGTTAAAATTATTTTAAACTTTAAAAAATAGTTGATGCAAGTTATTCTCAAAGTATTTCCTCAAATGGAAAGAGTAAGAATCCTTATAAATGCATTACATGAAGCTAATATTGCCCTGTACTAAACCTAATGAAAACAAGAAAATATAACAAAATAAAAATTACGGACCAACATCGTTGATGACATAGAAGTAAGAGTCCTCCATAAAATATTTGTAAGTAGTAATTTTTATATTGAGATCTCGTCTCAATCCAGCCTTAATAATTATTATTTTAAAAAAATAAATTTTAGTAAAGAGATAGAGAAAAAGGAATCTTTTTCTACATTGTTGGTGGGGAGGCAAATTAGCCATAAAGTCCTGGCTCCTGGGGACTTGGTGCTGGGTTTCAGAGCTCCCTTGATGCTTGAGGAATAAAGACAGACACACTCACCTGTGGTTTTCCCTGACTTGGGAGGCCCCACAATCATAATTCTGACAGGCATAGAAGCTTTGGGTTTGGGTTGCCGGATATATTTGATTGGGTTCATCATAAATTTTTCTTTGGTTTGTTTACTAGATAAAAAATAAATATATTGACGGTGGATGACAGGGTTAAGAGGGTTCTCTGCATTCTCAACAGGCTTGATTGTCTCTCCTTCGCTTAGCTGTAATAGGATTAAATTCACAAGTTAGATTTAATTTATAAAGCATTTCCTTCAAAATATCTGAAAAATTTTAATCTTTATTACATAATAAGAAAACCTCTAATTATAAATATTAACAAAGCAACTGTATACAAAGTACAGGTTATTTCATATCATATCTAGTCCATGTAATGTTTCTAGTTGGTTTTAGTTTATGACAATTACAGTTCTACTTCCTACATAATGACTCATGTTTTATTGACTGTTTCTGACCGAGGGTATGAGATTGTTATACTCATTCACAAACTCATTTACCCTGACAAACAGACCCACTTCTAAAATGGTATTGTGAATTGCACTGCCCCCTCCCATACAATCCACTTATCTTGAAACTCTTATTGCCAATGTGAATGCATGTAGAGATAAGACCTTAATGGGGGCAAGTAAGGTCAAATGAGGGCAAAAGAATAATCAATAGGATGGGGGGGTCTTATAACAGGAGGCAGAAACACGAATCAGCATACACAGAAAAAGCCCCACATGAGGACACTATGAGAAGGTGGTCAACTGCTAGACAAGGCAGGAAAGACCATCTGTCAACACCTTGATGAAATCCTTTAGAAACATTTCTAACCTTTACAACTATTGGGCTATGCCAATACCACCCTGAGTGTGCCTGATCTTGAAACTAAGCAGAATTGGGCCTGGTTAGTACTTGGATGGGAGACCTTTAGAACTACTAGAAAATAAATTACATTGGTTAACCTGCCCTATCTCAAGTTTTACTGCAGTATCGGAAGTGGGCAATACAGGTGGTTCTGCCAGGTTATCTTTTAATTCAGACAGAGTTCTTCCGCATTTTTGTATGGACAAAATCCCATCATGCCATTGACAACAGCCACAAAATGTGAAACACCCAACAAAGACAGCCTAAGGCGTGGGTATGGAATGAGGTAGGAAGAGTGGATAACTAACTGACGTTAGGGCTGAAGATCTTTTTACAGTATCAGAAAGTCAAGCACCATCCTTCCTGAATATGGCAGAGTAGGTATAAAATAGTTTACTCCCTGTGGTGCTTTAAAAGAAAATGGCCCTCATAGGAAGTGTGGCTTTGTTTGAGTAGGTGTGATCTTGTTGGGGGAAGTGTATCAGTATTGAGGGTAGGCTTTGAGGTCTCCTGTGCCCAAGCTATGCCCAGTGTGACACAGACTCCTGTTGCCTGCAGACCTCAGCTCCTTCTCCAGCACCATGTCTGAACTGTAAGTCAGCCCCAATTAAATCTTTCCCTTATGAGTGTTGTGGTGGTCATAGTGTCTCTTCACCAAGACAGTCACATTGCTTCCCTTTGAGAGGCATGCAAAATAGTGATCCGTCAATAGTATCATCAACATTGGCCTTCTTTCTTAGACTGGAATGCAATTCCTGGCTGACTGGGAGTAAATGCTAGGGATACAGACTTTTGGGGCAGGGGCGCAGAATGCTAGTTCCATGTTATGTATCTTTTAAATCAAAAGCAAAAATGAAAGTTACATTACTCCATTTTATCCCCCCCAAATTTTTATAGCTGCATTATACAGTATTTACAACTTTTCAAAATGACTATGTCTTCCTAAACAACAACAACAAAAAAAACCAAACAAACATGATGGTTTTCAGATGAATTGTCTGATGTTACCTTTACAGGGTCCCAGTAGCCAAATGAGCTTATGTATTTGTAGGTGAAGGTCAGCATTTTATGAGCAAGGTGTGGGGACACTGGATAACACTTCTCAAAAATGCTTGCACGGTTTTCCACGAGCGGCTTCAATTTCAAGTTCAACACATATTGTACAATGTTAAGTTTCCTAGCTCCATTAACTGTAATTATTGGTACCAGAACCTTATCAAATTCTTCCTGGTAAGAGAAACGATAAAGCCTGATTTATTTAGTGTTTCTGTTACAGCATATACACAGCTGGTGACTACATCATCATGTAAGGCAGGTATCTTTTAGCTTTACAAGGGGCTGTCTGTAGGGAGATAAACCCATCTTAACCTGGGAGGCGTCCATGCTGCTCTTGGTCTGTGACAAAGGGCCTGATGCCCTGAAATATTCTTTTGGAATATCACAAAAACTAAGACACCGTTGACTGAGTTTTCTGTCCTGCCCAGTTCCTGTAATCATTAAGTCCCAAAGAAATCACACAGAGGTCTACATTAACTATAAACTGATTGGCCCATTAGCTCAGGCTTCTTATTAACTCTTAAAACTTATATCAATCCATTATTCTTATCTGTGTTAGCCATGCGGCTCAGTACCTTTTTCAGCAAGACAGTCACATCTTGCTTCTTCTGTGGTTTGGGCCAGGACTGTGTCCTTTTCCCAGAATTCTCCTGTTCTCATTGATCTGCCTCTACTTCCTGTCTGGTTGTCCCACCTATACTTCCTGCCTGGCTACTGGCCAATCAGCATTTATTTAAAATATAATGGAAAGAATACAGACCATGGTCCCACACCACTTCCCCCTCTTTTTAAGAAGTTAGAGCTAGGGCTGGAGAGATGGCTCAGTGGTTAAGACCACTGACTGCTCTTCCAGAGGTCGTGAGTTCAATTACCAGCAACCACATGATGGCTTACAACCATCTGTAATGAGATCTGGTGCCCTTTTCTGGTATGTGGGTATACATGGAAGCAGAATGTTGTATACATAATAAATAAATAAATCTTAAAAAAAAGAAGTTAGAGCTAATGGCCAAGCAGTGTTTTAATTAATACAGTTGTTTTTGTGTGTGTGTGGTTATTTCGGGTATAAGCTAACTGGGCAGCTGGGACAAACAAGCGGCCTGCTCCCTTACAACAAATGACGCCCAACGTGGGGAAACTACATCCATATAAAGCCATAAGATTATCAGTGCCCCCAACCAGCAGGAAGTAACCTGGAGAACTATGCCCACATTCAAAAAAATAAGTTTATGGATGTTTTCCTTTGTTTAGAATGTTGGCTACAAGTTGTTATGGCTAATGGTCAGTAGAAAAGCTAAACAAAGGATATTAGATTCAGAGTTCTTGTTTTTTTTTTTTTAAAGAGGGGAAATGGTATGGGATTATGGTCTGTATTCTGTCAATTATATTTTAAACAAATGCTGATTAGCCAGTAGCTAGGAAGGAAGTATAGGTGGGACAACCAGACAGGAAGTAGAGGCGGGTCAATGAGAACAGGAGAATTCTGGGAAGAGGAAAGCTCTCTCGGCAGTTGTGACCTGACCAGAGAAGAAGCAAGATGTGACTGCCCCGCTGAATAAGGTACTGAGCCATGTGGCTAACATAGATAAGAATAATGGGCTAATAATGGGCTATATAAGTTATAAGAATTAGTAAGAAGCCTGAGCTAATGGGCCAATCAGTTTATAACTAAGTAGACCTCCGTGTGATTTCTTTGGGACTTAACAATTGTGGGAATTGTTAAGAAACCCTGACAACAAGACACTGAGCCTAACTACCCTCCTTGCATTCTCAAACTGTCACTTGTTAAGCAATGATGAAGGGATGGCCTAACCTGTATTTTTGTGATGGCAAAGGGATGGCTTAACCTGTATTTTTGTGGTGGCAAAGGGATGGCTTAACCTGTATTTTTGTGGTGGCAAAGGGATGGCTTAACCTGTATTTTTGTGGTGGCAAAGGGATGGCCTAACCTGTATTTTTATGGTGGCAAAGGGATAGCCTAACTTGTATTTTTGTGGTGGCAAAAGGATGGCTTAACCTGTATTTTTGTGGTGGTGAAGGGAAGACCATAACCTGTGTTTTTGTGGTGGCGAAGGGAAGGCCATAACCTGTGTTTTTGTGGCGGCGAAGGGACAGTCATAACCTGTATCATTTGCAGATTGTTCATTTCGGTTTCAAACTTTTCTCCCATCTCACTTCGCAGGCGCTCCACGGCTTCTCCTTCCTGCTCCTCATCCTCCTCACTCATCTCCTCCTCGTCTTTCGGGAACTCTTCTTCCAGGATGTTTTCGATATCCTCCTCTTCATCAGGCTCATCGTCACTGAAATCGTCATCATCTCGGAAAGCGCTCTAAGGAAGAGATGGTCCCTTTCCTCTCTATGGGAAATTGGTGTCAGGGGACACTGCTGACCAATAACTGGGAGTATTTTGTAATAACTCGATATTGTTTGGTGAGACAGTAAGAATGTAATGACGGGCACTCAGAAACTTAATGCCATTAAGATTCTGACTGTGATGGTCCCACAAGCAAACAGTTAAGACACTAGTATGTTTTTCTTTATAGTTTTTAGAAATAATATTTAATGCAGCTCACAGATGACAAAATATACAAGCTGCATTGCCAACTTGAAGAAGATCAGTTTCCTCATCTATAAATGGGAACAACATAGCTCACAGGATTTGGGGGAGCATTGGTTGAGTTAATACATGGAAAGTCATTGACTCACATAGAGGAATGAGAACTGACTCCTGAGGGGACCCTGGCCGACTGGAGCATGGAAAATATGACTCTGGCAGGCCTTGCCCTTCCCCTTTCCCTCTCCCTTGTAAGCTATAGATTACATCCCTAAAGCTAGCCACCCAGGTCTATTCCCTTATTTGGACTCTTATTCTAGACTCATTCCTGAGGCTGGCCAAAAAAGGTCCAGCTATCAAAGTATTGAAGGCCAGCAACCAAAAGTCCCCTTCTGGTGCCTGAATTAACATCTCCAATAAAAATTAAACACCTCATCCTAACACAGGGTTTCCTCTTTTCCTTTATAAACTGCCTTGTGCCTGTGGGCCACATCTGTCTCCTTTCCACCCACAGGCAGTTCTTTGTCCCTTCCAGACAATACCCTTTCTCCTCTCCCTGTTCCCTTCCCCTTCTCCCTCATCCTCTATCTCTTGTCTTTGTCTCTCATCCCCTGCTCTGTCTTCTCTGAATGATGAACTACAAGCTCTAAGATAAGGAAATAAACCCTTTCCTCCCCAGAGTGCTTTTGGTCATGGTGTTTTATGACAACAGCACAAATTAAAATAAAAAACAATCGAATGGCTTGTTACAGTTGTGTGTGTGTGTGTGTGTGTGTGTGTGTGTGTGAGAGAGAGAGAGAGAGAGAGAGAGAGAGAGAGAGAGAGAGAGAGATTTCTCTCCCTGTAGTATTAGAGAGTAACCTTATGGCCTGACATTTGCTAAGCAAGTTCTTTTGTTGTTCTTGGAATTGAACTGAGGCTGGTACATGCCAATCAGATACTCTAAGACTGAGTTGTTCCTCAGTCATAGCTGTATTTCATTTTAAACATCAATGTTATATGTTTTTCTATAGAATTGCCCTGAAAGCTGTAAATGTGTTTAAATTTCTTTCCGTATCAGGAGTGGGACTGAATCAGCTACCTAGGATAGAGAGGGCCTGAGGAAGCAAGCTCCACAGGAGCAGAAGCCAGGAGCCAATCCAGTCTCGGGAGCCAACTCAGTCCCGGGACACTGGCAGACCAGGACTGAGCCAGAGACCTGGTCCAGAGACAGCAGACTCCACAGGAACAGGTACAGGGGAGTAACTGCTGAGTGAGTGAGCCACAGCCAGAGACCACTGAGGGTTCAGACGTGAATCTGGGATCTTCAAGGGAGTAGACCAAAGCCAGGACCCCTGTGGTTCTGGGTGTGAGTCTAGGACTTTCCAGGAACTAGGCTTGAGCTGGAACCTTTGCCAGTTTGGGCATGAATCTGGAACCTCCAAGGGAGTAGGCAAGAACCTGAGATCTCTGCAGGGCCAGATGTGAGTCTGGGACGTCAGAGGGAGTAGGCCTGAGCCAGGACCTCTGTGGGTCTGGGCATTGGTATGGGACATCAAAGGGAATAGGCAGGAACCTGGAACCTCTGTGGGTCTAAGCATGAGTCTGGAACCTCTGAGGGAGTAAGCCTGAGCCAGGTCCTCTGTGGTTCTGGGTGCACCTGAACCTGGGAACTCCGAGCAGTAGACCAGAGCCAGAAACCTTTGAAGGACCATCTCCAAGCCAGGGACTTCTGCAGGAGGGGATATAGACCAGGATTTATAGAAACAGGTCAAAGCTGGTAACCTAGGTCAAAGAAGGCCTGAGACAGCAAACTCCAAGGGAGCAGACCAAAGCACAGGAGCACTGAGCTATCTCCAGGAACAGGAATAACCAACAGGGTAACTAGAACTGTGACACTGACTGTACCACGAGGAACAACCATCTGAGCTTTGGATTCACTGGCACCAGAAGATTAATCAACAGAATCTCAGACAGCCCCAACCACACCTATTAGAGGAAAAGATGAGTAGAAAAGGTAAGAACACATGCTACACCACAAAGAGCAGCACACCAGTAAAACCTAAAGACCCTACAACAGCAAGACCTAAACAACTAAATACAGATGAAGCAGAAGAAAATGACTTAAAAAATAACTTCAAGAGAATGTCTGAAACTCTTAAAGAGGAAATGAAAAATTCCCTTAAATAAATGGACAACTTTCTGGATAAATATCACTTACCAAAATTAAATCAAGACCAGATAAGCAAATTAAACAGACCTATAACTGCTGAAGAAATAGAAACAGTCATCAAAAGTCCCCCAATCAAAAAAAAAGCCCAGAGCCAGATGGTTTCAGCTCATAATTCTACAAGATTTTCAAAGAAGAACTAATACCAATACTCCTAAAATTATTCCACACAATAGAAACAGCAGGAACATTGCCAAACTCTTTTTATGAGGCTACAATTACCCTGATACCCAAACCACAGAAAGACATTACTAAGAAAGAGAATTACAGACTAATCTCACTTGTGAACATTGATGCAAAAATATTAAATAAAATACAGGCAAATAGAATCCAAGAACACATCAGAACCATCATCCACCATGACCAAGTCGGCTTCATCTCAGAAATGCAGGGATGGTTCAACATATGAAAATCTGTCAACATAACCCACCATATGAACAAACTGAAAAATAAAAAAACACATGATCATCTCATTAGATGCTGAAAAAGCTTTTGACAAATTACAATATCTTTTCATGATAAAGGTCTTGGAGAGAGAAGGGATACAAGGAACATACCTAAACATAATAAAGGCAATATACAGCAAGCCAATAGCCAACATCAAACTAAATGGAGAGAAACTCCCAGCGATTCTACTGAAATCAGGAACAAAACAAGGTTTTCCACTCTCTCCATATCTAGTCAATATAGTTTTTGAAGTCCTAGCTAGAGCAATAAGATACAAAAGTAAATCAAGGGGATATAAATCAGAAAAGAAGTCAAACTCTCGCTGTTTGCTGATGTTGTGATGGTTTACATACGCGATCCCAAAGAGTCTACCAAGGAACTTCTACGAATCATAAACACTTTCAGTAATGTAGCAGGATACAAGATTAACTTAAAAAAAAAAAAAACCAGTAGTCCTCCTGTACACAGATGATAAAAGGGCTGGGAAAGAAACCAGAGAAACAACACCCTTCACAACAGCCACAAAATGACCCAGCTGGGGTGCAAGCATTCGAATACACGAGCCTGTGGGGGACACTTCACACTCAAACCCTAACACTGTGTATAACCCTTAAGTGCTTTAGCTGTACCAAGGTCAGATAGGTTAATGTGCCAATAACTGTTCCCTTATAAAAAAAACCCTCGGTCCCCACTGTCTGACTGCGATGATTCAGACTCTCCTCATTTCATATCCTAAGACAACCAACGTTTCAGTTCCAGGTCAGCCTTATAGGCTCCATCTAGCCCCCCTCCTGTGCCTTCGGCCTGTCTCTGTGGTGGTAGCTGGAAGTGTGAAAACGAGATGAAAATCCCAAAGATGAAAACGCACTGTGTATTTCGTACGGGAATACTTCAGGGTCTTTAGTGGTTTCTTTGACTATGTGCTCATGCCAGGTGTGGAGGCATATGCTTTTAATCACCAAACTTAGGAGGCAGAGGCAGGAGGATTTCTGTGAGTTCAAGTCTAGCCTCTTCTACATAGCAAGATCCAAGACAGCCAGGGAGACATAGAGAGACTGTCCCAAAACAAAACAAAACAAAACAACATTTTGATTATAAGGTTAATTAAAAGGTAATTTAAAATAGCATATACCATGAGAAAAATAAAAAAATCAAAAGTAACCGGGCGGTGGTGGCGCACGCCTTTAATCCCAGCACTCGGGAGGCAGAGGCAGGCGGATCTCTGTGAGTTCAAGACCAGCCTGGTCTACAAGAGCTAGTTCCAGGACAGGAACCAAAAGCTACGGAGAAACCCTGTCTCGAAAAAATCAAAAAAAAAAAAAAAATCAAAAGTACGTGTCGTCTCACTACTTCTCTGTGAACTCTGTTAGTTTTTGTAGACTTTTGAAACACATCCTTCTGTGTTTTTCAACTGCTGAGATCATAGTGTTATGCTTAGTTTTTGTAGACTTTTGAAACGCATCCTTTTGTGTTTTTCAACTGTTGAGATCAAGTGTTACGCTTAAAAAAAATCTACTTACATCCCCTTTCCTCTTTCTGTCCCTCTCTGAGATAAGTTCAGCTCTTCTCTTAGCAACCATATCGTCCTGTCAAAGAAACATTTACAAGTTTACAACAACAACAAAAACAAAAATGATAAAGTCACTCGTTAGGTATCGCTGTACCTTCTCCAGCTGGGGCTAATACGTGGTAGAAGGGTACCGACACTCTCCAGGAAAACAAGATGCAGCGAGTGTCAAAATACATTCATGTCCTTCTGGGCTATCTCCCTCTCAAGGGGTAAACACCCCACAGGCTCGCTCACTCTAGCCTTGAGCTCCTTCTTCAGACGTATTGTACACTGCTTCTTTGGGATGGGGGTGGCATTGGATTTCACAGAAATCTCTTTTCTTTACCGTGAAGATGCATCTTTGAAAACACAGCTGCACCTCTAAGGAAAGCACATGCCTGTTGGATATGGCCAGAGGGAGGGAGGATGACCATGCCCTGTTTTCAGGGCCCTCCAACCTAACACAGTGAATCTGTCCACATGCGGTTTTGGTGCTGGTTGGCTCAGGACTCCCTGAGGTTTAACTAACTATAGTGTGCCTGCCAGAAGCGGGCACTACATTGGGCATTCTTCTCAAAATACAATATCAAGTCAGGCAGGCAGTGCCACCGACTTAAGGGTGAGCTAACAGGAACCCTGAGGGATCTCTGCGATGTCACTCAGGGCATTTCCTAGGAGGAAATCCGGAAGCAGCTGGTGCGGCTGCTGCAGCGAAGGGCTTACATTTACTGCAGTCAAAACAATACCATCGGAAAATGGGTATGGGACAGGACCGGACATCCAGACCCTCATGGTATGACTTGATTCAGACAGACTGGCCTGCCAGCGGCTGGAAGGGTGAGCTGGAGTGCAGAGACCAACCCAGGAAACCACTGGTGGGTCACCAGGAGAGTGCTGTGAACCCAAAGACCCCCAAATCGGGATAGGCGCAGTGGTGGGTGGGAGCTCGGGCACCACCTGCCAAGATCCGCCGCCTTCCAGCTCTCTATGGCACTTGCTGCCTCCGCCGTTGCCTTCAGCCTGCTCCTGTGCCTGATGGAGGAAGGCCTGGACACCACGAGTTTGGAAAAAGAATCGTATTCCCATGTTTTTGTATTGGATATGTACCCTGATTTTTGTCTTCAAGTCTTTGATGAGTTTTTTCCGTTCTGATTTTTTGCGCTGTTTCGTTTTCCACTTCTGAACTTGTGCCGGAAGGAGCCGGTCAAAGATGTCTTGATCTTCTACTTGTATTACAACAGCGGCATCTGGGAAAAAGCCACGCTCTCCTAGAAACTGGGCCTCCTCCGGGTACCGCGGGAAACCGTCCAGGATGAAGCCGGTGGAGCTGGGTGGAAATTTGCACAAATTGCTTAAAACATAGATATTCCAGGTAGGACACACTCAAAAGACAGACATCCCCATGTTTCTCTAATATTCAGAACTATCTTTCTATCACCTACCTTGCTACCAGTTTCTATGTGACATCTACGACATGAAAACAGAGGAACTAGTCTGTGAGAGGAAAGGAACCAGTGGGAGCGGGCAGGGTAACAGAGAGGATGATGTGATGCTGTGAGCAACAGGTAATTATATGTATGTACAAAGGTGTTATAACAAGTTCGTTATTTTGTATGGTAACTTAAAAACCCAAATATGTAAACATTACACTGTAGATCTATTTATACTATGTGTTGGTGGAAAGGCCAAAAAGTCTCGGGCACACAAGCGAGCACTGGAGAAGCTGGGAAAGTTAAGCTTGCAGATGCTTCAGAGGAAAGGGGTGTTTAGCTTGTTCCTCCTGGAAGGCAGGGGATGGGTGTAGTTCATAGGCTGCCATCCTTTGCTGTCTGAGGAGCCAGGACTGCCCATAGCTTCCAGAATTCCTATTTCCCTTATCCCATACCCTTCCTCCTAAAGCCAAGGGCACTACTTCTGTATCATGAGACTCAGGCACCTTGTACACTTTACAGTAGCCCAGGTGACTTCCGGGTTATCTTAGGGCCAGACATGGTAGCGTTCTGCTTGGACCCTAATCCTGAGCTCTGTTTCTCAGTCAGGAGAGCCCCTTTTAGGGATGAAGTCACAGTACTCTGTGAAGAGCTTCAATGGAAATGTATCTTAAGCTTTGTTGTACTTACAGAGCAGAGTTAATTGTTATCTGAAAACTTTTTCTCAAAATTGTACTATGCTTTAGATATGGCCATGAATAAATCAATCAATCAATCAATCAATCAATCAATAAAAGTTGATGTCAGACTCCAAGAAGTCTTGGCTCAGCACCAGCTACCAGAAAAGGGCTGAACCGAGCTTCTTTCTTGTCTCTTTACAGATGTTTTCCCTGTTTGCTGTAGAGTCACCAAGGACCCTCCACATATTATCTCTGCATCTGTTATAGATTTTATCAGACGTATAATATTGTAAGACAAGGTATCATAACCTTGGCTGGCCTGGAACCTGCTATGTAGACCAGGCTGACCTCAAATTCACAAAGACCACCTGTCTCTGCCTCCTGAGCACAGAGATTAAAGGTGTGTGCCAGTTTCAGGCTTGAGGAAATTTTTAGGTGGCCAGGATAAACAGGTATGTAAAATAGCTATACAAATCAGACATTTAGAGATAGTAAACTTATTTTAAAACAATTCTTTGGCATGTATGCAATTTTACCATTTGTTAAAGATTTATGTTCAAGAGGTGAGTATATATATGATATTTTTCCAAGATGTATAAAATTGGATTAAAATAAGATTTGTGCTTGTAATATAAAAGTTGCAGGTAGCAACCGTTGATAATTATTAACTGGAAGTTCACAAAGAGTTATAGAAAAGAAAGTAAGTTTCTGCTGGGGAGAAGTGCCCAGCCTAGTAAGGGATCGCTTGACTGGCCTCAGCACGTGTCCTGCCATGAGGCAGTTCACACACTCCTCCAGGTCTCCTGGTAGCCAACAGTAACTTCTGAGGCATATTCTGCCTCAGGTGACAGAACTTTTAGGGTCATGAGGATAACCAGAAGGCCAACGGATTTCAATCTTGTACTTATAAAGCAGCCTTTGAGGACTTGGCTTCGAGTTCCTGTTGAGAAGTCAGTGTTGATCTGCCTTTGAGTGAGCTTGTTGACCTTATTTGTCCAAAAATGTCTACTGTATTTACACATACATGCGCTTTCTTCTCAATAAAATGGTACGCTTATAAACATCTGACTGTTTCAGTCTTCACAGTTCATTCTCAAATGCTAATTGTCCTCTCTTATTAGGTAGGCAATCTTCTCTAAATTGGCCATGCTGGTCATCTCTTTCCTCGGCGATGCCTTCCATCTAGTCTCTTCTAGGAGGAACCCACTTCTTGCCTGGTGTCCTGGTGTCACTTTGACAAGAACTCCCAAGTCCTTACCACTACATAAAAACTCTTCTGAGTTTTAATTCAGAAGTGTCGAAGCCCTGCTTTGACTTTCCAATGAAGGAAAGCTCTGTGGGTTACACTGTCAACAATCATGATCACCCTCATCGCTCCAACCCTCTCTTCGCCAGATTCAGCAACACAAGATGCCTCGAGTTTCTTCTCCACCTCCCTCCCGCTGTCCTGTGTGAGCCAAGGCTTGGTGCCTCTGTGCTTTCATTGCTGCCATCTGCCTTAGTTTAGCCCTCAGTAGCTCTTCTAGGATTAATCTAGTAGACTGAAAAAAAAAAAACCTAAAAGAAAGTCAACCCTTTTCCTCACTTCTAAGAGCAATGCATTTCACAATAGAAGAATCGCAAAGTAGAGGGGAAAAAACCCATAAAACTGCAGACTATTATCCTATACCCCAGGTGTTACTGTCTTTGGTTGTTTTTCTTTTTAGTCAGTTCTTCATGTGCCCCTTTCTACCATACTGTGATATATATTATATATCATATAAAAATATTACATGTGATTGTAAATCTTTATCATAATAAAATGTGATGGTTGTGAAATACTCCATATTTAGATTTTGTTGTGTAACTTTTTACATTAAATTAAATTCATGTCTCTGTATCTCCATAGAGATATCTATCTATCAGATTCCCTGGAGCTGGAGCTACAGATGGTTGTGAGCTGCTGTGTGGGTGCCGGGACTCGAACCTGGGTCCTGATTCTTTTAGTTGCTGAGCCACTGCTCCAGGCATCATTACTTTTTAATTTAAAAACGTTATTTTTTGCCTTTGTGTGGTGTGATGTGAGAAGCTAAGCTAGTGGAGAACAGTTCATGAACAGAAAGCTGTGGGTTACTTGCCCAAGTTTCCCACAGTTAGTGATCTAATTTAGAGAAAAAGGACATTTTAAAAATCTTGATAACTCAATCCCACTCCCTCATTTCAAATAGGCAGTAGATACAAATGTGCCCAGAGTGGCATAGAAACATTCATCTAATTTCTCTGTATTTCAGTTTCTTTTTTTTTTCAAATTGAGATGATGCAAATTTCTATCCCATTCTATGCAGCAATTTTAATATGATTAAATACTAAAAATATCTAATACAGCCAAGAGGAGTGACTGTGACATGATCAGTTTTCATATACAGATTAAACTGATTCGAATAAAGCACAGTTGACCAGTACTTGGTGTGTAGCAAGTTGCAAATGTGTTTGTGCTCCAATCACTCTTGTAAATATCATTTCATGCTCTTTTGGAGGATATCAAGGCAGAATACCCCACTTCGAAACAGGAAAAGAAACAAAGACAAAAGATAACAACTCCGGGACCTGAAGATTTGTTCTGTGTGGGTCAACACTGTTGCAGGCATTTGCTAGTGGACCAAGACTGGACAGCTACCCAGTGGTCATAGCTGTAATCATCACAAGGATAGAGGCGGAAGAATCCAGCACACCACGAGGGTATGTGGGCTTATGCCGGAGATGGCAAAGCATAGCCCCCCTCCGACTGCGGTTCCTGAGATGCAGGAAGCAATTCCCTCCAGGCAACCCAGTGGCAGCTAAATGAGCATGTTACTTGAGGGCCAAGGAGAGAATACCTATGTGCCCCAAGGACTGCTTCTATGGCGTCTGCATACGCACTTGACAATGTTACAGCTGATTCTGGTTATAGCAATTCTACTAGTGCACTTGTTCTTCATGTTCTTTTTCTGCATCCACACCAGTGGTTTCTGAAAACATGGATGTGCTGTATGATAATATGAGTCTTCCTGATCTGATGGAGCGGGCAGGCATTGACGCTGTAAAGCAGGTTATGGGGGAAAACCTGACTGATGAAAGAATTGGGGAAACGTGGGGAAAATGCAAAAATTGTTCTTTGCCTGATTATAAAACTTGGCAAAAGAATTATACTGAAACAGAGAAGAACTCGGCTATGATGAATAAAGTTTCTGAGAACCTAGGGCTTTAGGGCTGACTGACTATGGGTTTATAAATCAAAGTTGGAATTGTGAGGAGCAACAATGGGAAAGGGATGACAATGGAGTAAAATCCGCTGAACTATGCTTTTGTAAACTGCAAGTGGTTAGCTTCTGAGGTGAATGCCTCAGAAGCTGTTTTCTGATTAACTCAGCTAAGAATTAAGAATATAGGGGCTGGCATGGGGCTTGGGAACACTGGGGAAAACGTCATAATGAATGATGATGTTCTGACTTCAAAGAATCTTTATACTTCTTGTGTGGCAAGAAAAAAACAATCATTTTCCTTGTGTAAAGTTTACAATAAAAGACTGAGGTTTGAAGCTCAGGGCAGAAGAAGAACTTGCCCTACAGCCGATGGCCTATCAGCTTGCATCAGAATCCTGGGTTCATGTATTCACTTCACCTTCCGGACATCCCAGGTTCGAGACCCACTTCTCTGCTGAGGCCGGTCCCCAGCAGATTTAGAAAATAGTTCTCAACTACAGATGTACACTAAAATCATCTGGGGACCCTAAAAAACATGCCAGGGCCTTGATCCCGGTCTCAAACCTCAGCAGAATCTGTTTAAATGCTTTGGCATGAGTCTCTGGCTTCAGTGTTTTTCAAAAGCTCCATGGATGTTTTAATGTGTAGTTTATATAGATGAATAAGAGCAAATTTGTACGTACAAATTAGACTATAGTTTGGCTATTCGGAACAAAGAAATGAAAAGCAGTGGGAAACATAACCCCTGTGTACGGAGGCACCCACCGCATTGGTTCTTTAAGCCACCACTCAGAAAGCATGGGGTCCAGAATTTCCGACGTCAGGGGCTCATTCTCCGTCAGACTCAGCTTGATTGCCTCCTCCTCTTCTGTGAACTGCACATCTGGAAGCTAAAGGTGAAAACTATAAAATAAGAGGAGTCTTAAGCTCCGCATTGATAAGCGATACTGTTTTACACCACTGCTAGAATGAGACCTGAGCTTTTTCTGAGGCCACTTTTGATACTGTTACTTGAAAACATTTTAAAACTTGAGTTCTGTGCACTGATATATAATATGATTAAGTAATAAAAATTACCTAATATAACTAAGAGAAGTCACCATGGCAACATGATTGACTTTCACGTACGGTGTCAGAGTCAATGCATCTTTATTATTATTGGTTTGCCAAAAATTTGCTTGATTCATATCACACATCTGTAAAGCTTACCTGATTTGTGCCATTTTTCCTCTAAGGAGATACAGTTCCATCTCCTTACGCCACATCCTGATTAGAGGATGAGCCAACCGGAGAGTTACCTGAAGCACATTCTAGAAGGGCTTATAGCTTCACAGCAACAGAGAGAAAATATTGGGATGAAGAACTCAGGTCATCTTTCTCTGAAGGTGACCCTCAAATGGATAATGAAGAACATACAAGTAGTTCAGACGCACAGTCGAATGCCCCGACTGTGTGCTGCACCACCACTCAGCGTGGGAGTCACTTTCCCGACTTTCAGAGTCAGGTAAGACTCAGTATTTCCTACACTGGGGGAGAAGCGGGTTTATAAATCACAGTGGAGAGGGTGCCCTGTGGCGGCTCCTCCTCCTCAGGTCTCTGTAGTTCGAAGTTGCTATGATTGTGTAACAGACACACAGATGCTGCTTTTCAGGAAAAGGAGTCGGCTTCTCACTTGGGCTCACAGGCTAAAGAGAAGGACTGAGTCTGGAGCCCGGGGTCATTTTCCACCACTCACCTCCACACACAGGCATGCTCCTCACTTGAAGGATCAACCTAGAAATGTTACATTTTAACCTACTTCATTCACTTTAAAAGATGAAAGCGCACAAAAATAAAGGAGGCATCTTATTTTCTGTTCTTTACAGTTTCCTGTTCTAGGCTCCCCAGAGGTTCCTGAAAGTCACTGTGCTAAATCTGCAGTCACCTTGGATTCCTGGAACAGACCACCACCCGACGAGGGCCATTATTCACACTGCACCCTGGGGACGGAGTGTCTCCCCCTCAAACAATAAGGGCTCTTTGGACCATCTTGCAGAAACAAAGCTGAGATACGGGTCACCAGACTACACCTTGACCAGGACTGCTTAAACCACGTGGGTCAGGACCCCAAAGATAACCTGGGGGGGGGGGGTCACCGGACCCCTCTATCTGTGCACATGACTGTGGCAGGCAGGTCTCTCTAGCTGGCATCCTGGGACGGTAACTGAGTCTAGCCTGCGGTGGCTGCTGCATCTGCCCTGAACTACCTGCTACAAACCAGCTTCCGCAGCAAACACAGTGCCCCCCAGGGACACCACCACATCACCTGCTTTTTTGTGATTTCTTCTTCAATTTTCACGTTCGCCTGAACGGCAAGCTCTTCCAGTTCTTGCTTTGTGGCTTGCTCCTCCTCGGAATCGTCCTCAAACTCAGGCCCGAATTTCCTTTCAGCCTTAAGCAGCATTTTTTCTTGGAGAAATTCATCAAACTGAATGTGAAAAACGCCGAAGTTTTCTGCCAACGTTCTGGCGCAAAGAGTTTTGCCGGAGCCACGGGGACCCAGAAAACAGAGCCTGATGGGAGGAGCCTGCCATAGAGGGCCGCACAGGGAGGGTGGAGCAGAGGGAAGGAAAAGAGGGTTTAAGTCCTTTGCCTGGTGGCGATTGGCATCTGTAACCCTTGCACTGCGGCCAGAGGGGCACATAGAGACTTTCCTCACAAGAGAAAGCAACCTCCTCTTCCCTACCAAAAAAGGAAAATAGAGTAAAAAGGTGAGAAAGGAAGTCTTTTTTAAGTGATTTTTAAATTTTATCTTATGTACATTGCCTGTGTGCATGCCCCGTGTATTTGCCTGATGCTCAAGGACTCAGAAGAGGGCAGGGCATCCTCTGCAACTGGAGGTACAGACTTGTGGTGCAGGGAATTGAACCTGGGTCCTCTGAAAAGGCAACAGGTGCACTTAACTGCATGAACCATTTCTCCAGCTCCAATAGATGGAGTTATAGGTGATTGTGAGCCACCCAACATGCTAATCAAACCCAGGTCCTCTGAAAAGCAGTATATTTTCTTAAGTGCTCCAGCCATCTCTCTAGCCTCCCATAGACAGGAAAGTTTATTTTACAAATCCAATTATATTTAGGCATAAGAATATCAATGAACATAATAATTCATTGCACCAAAAATGGCTTTTAGGGGGCAAAACTAGCCAACAGGCATTTAATAAAAAGTAACTCCACTTAAAAATTATTTTAATGCTTGAGAGGCAGAGGCAGGCAGATCTCTGTGAGTTCGAGGCCAGCGTGGTCTACAAGAGCTAGTTCCAGGACAGGAACCAAAAAGCTACAGAGAAACCCTGTCTCGAAAATCAAAAAAAAAAAAATATTTTAATGTTAATAAGGAATGAAAGACTTTTTCTTGATATGTTTAAGAAGATCTCTCTACCAAAGAAAAAGCCCATTTCATTCAAAGACCTTGCCACTAATTCCTGTGATGTCCACACTGAAATGGAGGAAGCCCAAAGCCAGCTTTTGCAGGGTGATGTGGTCGTTCCCTGAAGGCGACAGCTGAGGCGAAGCAGCAGCCACGGCTCACGGGACCTTGAGGAAATGACTTTACAGCAACCCTGGGGAAGATGCTGGTGTATTTGGGTGTCTGGGCCTCAGAGGAGCAGAGGTGTTTGTGAGAGAGGGGTACGGATGACTTTGAGACTCAGAAGCATTTGTTGTTGTGATGGAAATGGTGGGAGTTCAGAGGCTTCAAAGGGGCCTGTGAGGGATCTCAGGTGACGGAGTGCTTGATAGCCTGGTTTCAGTTCCCAGAACAGCATGAGCTAGCTGTGGTGGGCGTGCCTGTAATCCCAGCATTTGGGATGTGACAGCCATCTTTGGCTGCTTAGAGAATTCAAAGGCATCCTTGGACACAGGAGACCTTGTCTCCAACAATACCAACACCACCACCACCACCACCACCACCACCACCACCACCACCACCACCACAACAACAACAACAACAAAAACAACAACAAGAGCAAAACATGTAGAAAATGCTACGAAGCTCAAACATTGCACTGTGTATCAAATATAATATATTAGTAAGACTTGGGGGACATTTTAAGAACAACCATGTCCCTTGCAATCCCAAAGCATTCTATGTTGCAGAGAAGAATGGAGAAATTACCTCCAGAGTTTCTAGGTCCTGTTTGGTTGGGTTTGTGGAAAACCAGGTGATAGGGCTGGGCATGGTGGTACATGCCTTTAATTTCAGCATTCAGGAGGCAGAGGCGGGGGATTCCATGTAAATTTGAGACCAGCTTGGCAAAATAGCCAGACCCTGTCTCAAAAAACAAAACAAAACAAAACAAACAAAAAACTAAAAGAAAGAAAGAAAGAGAAGAAAAGGCAGTAAGACTTGAGGGATAGTGTGCTTGTGTGCAGCCTTTAACTCGATTCCTGGATCTCATATGGTGACAGGAGAGAAACAACCCCTGGCGGCTGTCTTCTGATCTCCACAGGGTGCTGTGGCATGTGCATGCTTGCACACACACACACACACACACACACACACACACACACACACACACTAAGTAAATAAATAGAAAAAATGAAAAAATTAATGGTGCAATATATTATACCTTGATCCAGTTATCCTATTACAGAGAATTATAGTAATGAAAGAATGCAAGAGAATCAAGAATTCTGTTGCTAAATTACCTATTAATTATCAATATCTACAATGGAAAATAACTTTATGAAAAAGTCTATCAGTGAATTAGATGTCAAAGTGGTTGAGTATTAGGCAAGCTATGTAGGAATACACACATTTTGTGTAAGCAAAAAAGTAAGATATTATATGTACACTTATTACATATTAATTGTAAACTGTTCCAGACGGTTGTGAGCTGCCATGCAGTTTCTGGGATCTGAATAGGATCCTCTGAGAGAGCAACAAGTGCTCTAACTCCTGAGTCATCTCTCCAGCCTCTATTTGCGACCCTAAATATCAAGTAAAAAAGACACAAGAGCTGGTTTGACAAAGACATTACTATAAAAGTCAAAACAGATCATTATTTTTATGCCATATTACAAAAATCTGTAGTGATATTTTGTTTGTGTTTTAACAAATAAAGCTTTTCTGAAGATCAGAGTACAGAGCTAAGCCACTAGAGGCCAGAAAGTGATGGTGCACACCTTTAATCCCAGGACTCGGGAGACAGAGGCAGGGGGATCTCTGCTACTTCAAGGTCACCCTGAGTTATGTGAGATTGATCCAGTCTATAAGAGAAACAGAAATCACAAAATCCCATGCCTTTAATTGCGGCACTAGGGAGGTGGAAACAGAAGGGATATGGCTGGGCGGAGAGAGGAATGTAAGGTGGGAAGAGACAGGCGTTTAATGCAGTCTGGAGGTACAGTTTGAACTACAGTCTGAGGACAGGATCGTCCTTTTGGTCTGAGGATTAGTAGAGGTTAAAGGTCTCTCTAGTGGCTGGCTGCAGGACTTCTCTCATCTCCCAGCTTTCACTCCCTAATATCTGACTCTGGGTTTTAATTATTAAGATTAATTAAAATTCGTGCTACAAAAAGTCTATTTTTAAGCCTAGACATTATGTTTTGCTGTTGTTGTTGTTAGCTTTTAACAAGATTAGAAACTTCATTGTTAAGCACACTCATGGGAGAACGTGGAGCAACCACTAGCATAGGAATATTGTTTTCACCTTTAATGGCTCGTTCTGGGCCACATACTCCTCAGGATGCTCCAGGAACTTTTCCTTGGCCTCAGCAGTTGAAAAGTAGTATATCTTTTCTCGGTACTTAACAGCCTCGTCTGTGTTGCCAGGCTGCAGAATAAAGTTTTCTTTGAGAACCACTGGGCAGAAGTGTTTGGTGTCTCCCAAGTGCCTCCTTTTTTCTTTTAACTTTTCTTCACCCTAGAAATATTGTTCAATTCAGAGATTAGCAAAGACATTTTGATGCAGCAGCAAAGAGGAATTCAGAAGCATTTTCAGGACTAAATCGTCTACAAGAAAACCAACTCTGAAAAAGCCCACAGGGCCGTCTTTATATAGTTAATGGATTAAAAGCAGGTTGCTCATGTTCCTCTAAATTGGTTCTTACATTTTTCATTTACATAAAAAAATAAAGTAGCACTGAGAATTAAGGTGTGCTCTACCCTCTAGACAAAGAGAAGTGCTGACCTCGATTCTCAAGGGCTGAAACCTGAGTCAGAGTCACATCTTACTCACGACAATGACTAATGGCAATATGCTTTGCTCTATTGAAAGTAAAAACTTGAAAATATTTTATTAGTTACAAATGAAAATTTATACTGTGATGAATGTGTAAAGGATTTTTGGAAGTTAGTTAAAGCCACAGGAAGACATTCAACACTTACTTGCTATAAAATGTTTAAACACATCAGTGTATCAAGAGTGATGTTTCCCTCTCGTTCTCCTTCCACCAGCGTGCACACACTCCTCCCGTTCCCATAAGCACTCCCCCGCTCTACTCAATATCTCTGCACATATAAAAGCTAGACATATTTAAGCACAAATGCGGCCGTTTTGAGACTTGAAATGGGATATTTTACAAATTATTCTACAGTGTGATTATGTTCACAAAAGAAGAAAGCCCAACACTTTTCTGCCCTGCTCCAAAACTCAGACTAATAAGGCGGTCATGGTGGTGCCCACCTTTAATGCCAAGACTCACCAGTAGATCTCTGTGAGTTCAAGGCCAACCTAAGTAATGTGATGGCTTTGTGGGAGCCTAGCCAGTTTGGATGTTCACCTTCCTAGATATGGACGGAGGGGGGAGAACCTAGGACTTACCACAGGGCAGGGAAATCTGACTGCTCTTTGGGCTGGAGAGGGAGGGGGAGAGGAGTGGGGTGAGGGGGAGAAGGGTGGGAGGAGGGGGAGAAGGGTGGGAGGAGGGGGAGGGAAATGGGAGGCTGGGAGGAGGAGGAAATTTGTTTTTTTTTTCTTTTCTCAATAAAAAAAAGTTAAAAAAATGATTGTACACATTCAGCTTATTTTAATATTTATTTATTTGTTTGTTTGTTTCATGGGTTTTGTCTGTATGCATTTAAGTCCACTATGCCATGCAGAGACCCGAAGAAGGCAATGTATCCGTGGAATTGCGGTTACAGACAGTTGTACGGAACCACACCCAGGTCCTCTGCAGGAACGAGCGCTCTTAGTGGCTGAGCCATGTCTCCAGTGCCCATATATTTAGCTTATTGTTTCACTGTTGATTTCTTATCTCCTGTGGTGGTTCCTTGTAAGTCTCAGACATTTGATTACTTGGTCCCTAAGCTGTTTGAGGGAGAACTGGGATATGTGACCTTGTTGGACCTGGTCACTCAGGGTAGGATTTGAGATTTCAAGTTAATTCTCTTTGCTTCCCATTTGTGGATCAAGATGTGAGATCTCAGCTGCTGCTCCGGTGCCATGCCTGCCTGCCTGCTAAGCTCCCGGTTCTGAGAGTGATAGACTTTTATTCCTCCAGAACCATAACCCCTAATAACCTTCCCTTGTATCCTAGTGCTGGGGGTGGGGAAACACGTGGATCCCCAAGTCACTGGCCAGCAAAGGTAGCCTGTTATGAGAACTCCGGTTATAAAAGACGTTGTCGCCAATAACAAGGTGGATGGCATCTGAAGAAGGATAGTTGGGGTTGACCTCTGGCCATCACGTGCCTGTGCACACATGGACACATGGACACCCACATACATAAATATGCATGCACACAAGAGGAAGATGATGGGAACAGAGTGATGTCTGCTGGAAATGGGATGCTCTGTGTGATGGTTGGCTGCCAACTGGACTATCTCTGTAATCAACTAACTCCCAAGCTGCTGGGCGCTCCTGCATGGGATTTTCTGGATCCGATTATTTTCAGTGGGAAGGCCCATCCTAAATCCTGGCCACACTTTCTCATGGTAGCCCACGTAAAAGGACAGGGAAGAAGGAAGCTTTTGCTTGTTGCCTGCTTGCCCTCACTCTGGCTGGCAAGTTCACCTACGCCGCTGCTGAGGCACTTCTTCACCTGTGTGAGAGCAATCTCTTTAGGATTCCAGTGTGGACTGAAGATCAACAGCTCTCCAGGCATTCTCTCAGACGCCAGCGCTGCACTGGGACCGCTGAGACATCCAGCCTTGTGGACCTAGCAATCCAGGCATCCTCTAGGGCGCCAATGCTGCACTGGGACCGCTGAGACATCAGCCTTGTGGACCTAGCAATCCAGGCATCCTCTCGGGCGCCAGTGCTGAACTGGGACCTCTGAGACATCCAGCCTTGTGGACCGAGCAATCCAGGCATCCTCTCAGATTCCAGCGCTGCACTGGGACTGCTGAGACATCCAGCCTTGTGCACCGAGCAATCCAGGCATCCTCTCAGATGCCAGCGCTGCAATGGGACCTCTGAGACATCCAGCCTTGTGGACTGAGCAATGATTGCATTCTCAGCCCCTCTGCCACACTGTCCAGCCCACAGCCTGTATGCTAGTCTAATGCTCCTCCCCTCCCCCACACTCGTAGTATGTGTATGTGCGTGTGTTCTATAGTTCTGTTCTCTGGTGGGCGTGGTATTGAAAGTGTGCAGCTGTTGCTTCACGTAGTTTTAGGTCACCTTTTAAACTCCTAGAGCAGCACCTCGCTCATTCACAGCCAACCTCTGGGGAACGTGGCTGTCTAAGCAAGTGGAGGGTGTTCAGGGAGCTGGCTGGTAAGGAACGGTGTTCCTGACACACCCAAAGCGTTTCGTGTTTTTGAAGAACTATGAAACCACTTCTGGGATTCAGGGAGGGTCATGTGGATTTACGTCAGGCAAGGTGACAGACCAAAAACAACAAAGACTGCGAGGAAATACAAAGGCAGGAGCCCGCAGGGATTGGTCGAAGTATTCAGCTTTCTAAAGAATGCTAGCTATTACTTATAGATGTTTTTGTGTGGATGTCTTTTATCAAGCTGAGAAAATTTCTTTTGCTTTTTATATAGAATAATTAAAAGTTATTCTTTGAGAATTTTATATATGCATACAATGTATTTCAATAATCTTGTTTCCCCATTCTTCCCTTCCAACTGGACCAGTCCCTCTCCCAACTTGATGACATTTTAAAATTTTTAAACTTGATGAACCACTAATTACAGTTAGCATTGCCCATATATACTTAAGTGTATATACCATGGAACATGGTCAACCTACTAGGAACCACATCCTTAAAGAAAACCGACTCTCCCTCCCATAGTAGCCATCTTCTATCAATCACTCCCAGCTACGGGCTTGTGTGCCCCTCTGTACTACTTTTCAAAAGCTATTTATAAGTATATACCCTTTATTTTCTAAAATCAGCAACAGACAATGGATTTTTGCCAAATACTCCTCCTATATCAGCTGAGGTAGTCACTTAGACTTTACCTCCAACCTGTCAGTACGATAAATTCTATTGAGTGTTGTCCGAATGTTAAACCAAGATTTTCTGGGACAAACCCTTCTTGGATACAATGTATTGTTATTTTGATACATGTGTGAAATTTTGTAAAAATTTTATTAAGAGTTTATGTATCAGTGCTCAGGAGAGGTCAACTGCTCATTGTTCTCTTTCTCTTGTTGGTTTTGGTTTGGGGTATAAGAATGACACAGATCTCATAGGCTGAGCTGGAAACTTCCCCTCCTCTTCAGTTTTCAGCAAGAGTTCATGTAGAGTCAGTCTTTTTTCTACCTTAACCATTTGGCAGCGTTTACCGGGGATTTTATCTGTTTCACGTCTCTTTTCAGCTTCTGTATGTCTGAAAAACTCTAACTTGCCTTCATTTCTAAAGATAAGGTGTTACTAGGCACACAATTCTGGTTCTCCCTCTTCAGCACTCACAGGCTGTGGCCTCACCCTCTTTTGACTTGTCCTGGTTTCCCTGAGAAACTTGCTGCCATTCTGACCATTGTTCTTGTGGATGTGGCATGCCTGCCTTCTCCTGCCTCTTGTATGATGTTCTTAGCAGCCAAGCAACTTGAATATGACATACTTGGAACTGTTTTCTTCATCTGTCTTGTATGGGATTCACTGACCTTTTTAGATTTGAGAGTTTGTAAACTGTCTCAAATATTGAAAAAGTACAGCTATTATTTCTTCAAATATTATTTTATATATTTTTATATAATATCATTTTATATATTTTTGTGGATTCCAATTATTTGGACAGCAGGCTGCTTGGAGCTTCCCACAGGTCCACTTATGGTATTCTCTTTGCTATTCTCGATTCTCCTCTTTTGTCTCAGATTGTTTCTGTTTCTTTAACTGCCTTTTCTGAAGAGTCGAGACTATCATTGCTCTAGTCAATGTGTATTTCACGTCATATTTTCTACGTTTCCCACCACACAGCTCACATTCCCCATCACATCTGCTTTAGCTCTACTTCCTGCTTTGAATTTATAGGGCCCAGCAAGAACAGCCATTTCAAAGTCCTCATTGAAGGAGCAAAACAAACTCCATTTTGAAAAAGAACTCCATTTTAGATAGGACCTAACTAGGGGGTTGAATACAGTCCAGCAAAGTCATAAACTTTCCCAAGAACTGTGCCTGCCCTGGTCAAAGTGACCCACCAGAGTACTCAAATGCCGTCTGCTTACATCTGATTGCTTCAAACGTCCTTGTAGGTACCTGATTAGCACAGGGTCAGCAGATGCCCCAAGGTTGTGACCAGGAGACAGTCACTATGGGTGAACAAGCCCTTCTAGACAATGACAGCCTATCAGAAAACAGCAGCTAAGTCTTACCTAACCTTTAGCCAATTGTGATATAGGATAAACATTTTTGTATTTTGAAACTGTAACCTTATAACCACTTTGTGGTTTTTGTCTTTATAAACCCCTTACAATAGTAAACGAGGTCCTTCTCCCTCGATCTGCTGTGTCAGACTGGTGGCAGAGGATCCATGCTAGCCTGTACTTAATAAACAAAACCTTGCTTTTGCATTTGGAAGGGTGGCTCCATGGTGGTCTTCTTGGGGGTCCTTGGACTCAGGCACAACACGTATCAGCCAATGTTGATGTATTTGTCAGTTCTAGAGTAGTTTGAATTGGAGATTTTCTTTTCATCATGAATCATCTGGCAATTCCTGGGTGGATGCCAAACTTTATGTGTTATACCACCAATACTTTTGAGTTTGTTGATAGGACAACTTAGATAGGCGGAATAGACAGAACAGAATGCTGGGAGAAAGAAGCAGATTCAGGCAGATGCTATAGCTCTCCTCTCCAAGATGGACTCAGGTTAAGATCCTTCCTGGTAAGCCACCACCTCATGGTACTACACTCATTAATAGAAATGGGTTAATCAAGATGTGAGAGTTAGCCAGTAAGAGGCTAGAGCTAATGGGCCAAGCAGTGTTTAAAATAATACAGTTTCCGTGTAATTATTTTGGGTAAAACTAGCCGGTGGCAGGACACAGCCTGCCACTCCATCTGCAATCAAGAATCAGAATTTATATTAAAAAATCTCCAGTGTAGCTGCCTTACTTTTCTGATCCTCAGTCAAATTTTATTTATTAAAATACAAATGAAGCATCACTACAGGAAGGGCTACTCCATTGCAGCCCAGAGGGAGCACAGAAGAGCACACAGTAGAACACTACAGAGAAAGTTAGATGAAGAGAGACCGAGTATGAGCAGGGAAATCCCACGTCTTTAAGCCACGCGAACATTAGTTCCTTGGTGATAAAGTACTGGAAGGTGTTGACAGAAACCACCACAAATCATTTGCTGCTATAGCCACACACTCCTATATCTTTGGGTTGAAATTAGGCAATAATAAGTTAACTACAATTGCAGATTTGTTTAACTTATTTAACTTAGTAAATTATATTTTTATTTGTGAAAACTCATATTGAAAGAACAATTTCCTGTTTTATTGTTGACATATACCTAGTCTGGGAATTATCAATGAATTATCAATGAGAATGGTTATTACCATTCTGGTGCCAATGATGTAGATTGGTGTTTGAATCTGGGTGGATCCTGTTGAGCATTGTAATTATTGTCATGTGGACAGCCCTCCAGACACTCCAAAGGTGGCTTTCACACACCTATTTATATGAACTTCATAAAATACTTCTATTCTTAATACTTGCATAGTTTTTTTTCTGCATAAAAAGTAAAATGATTTCCTCCTTATATTTTCATGGGTGCTATTTCTTCATATTAAGTAGCCCTGGCATTTTCGAGAGTCAAGTGAAGCTGGGGCAAAGGAGAATTAAAGTTGAGGATGGGGTGAGGATGCAGCTCAGTGGTTGTGCACTTGCCTGGCATGCATAAGGCCCTAGTTCTGAAAAATTAAAATATACAGAGAGTAAAAAAAATTGGAGATGCCTGTTTGTTCACCTGGCAGGGAGATCCCGAAGTGTCGGTTACTACTCCGGACACACACATTTTTCAGGAATGGCCCATGAGACTGAGCAGTGCAGAAGCAGCCCTACCTCCTCCTCTTCCTCCTCCTCTTCCTCCTGCTCCTCATCGACTTCGATCTCTGCCTGGTAGTCTTCTGCTTCTTCATCGTAATCCTCAGCATTCAGTTCCCATGCAGTATACTGAAAAGGCTCTGTCGTTTTTAAAAAGGCAAGAGATTTTAGAACAAGTTATCAGTGTATTATAACAGTCAAAAGTTAGAAAAATTAATTATTATTATTGACAGACAGTTTTGATGTGTGTGCAAGTTCTCTGTGAGAACCACACATTGTGACTGGTGACAGTGTGCCCCATACCTGCTCTGACTGGCCAGAGTCTGCATGATTTACAGTACTTTTAGAATGTCTTATATGTTATCTCCAGATATTCTCAATGTTTTACTTGGAAAGCCATCAGAGCAGGCTTTCAGGGCCTAGAATGTTTTCAGTGTCTGCCCTTCACCATAAACACTGTGCTTTGAGCCTTACTTTCCATCATTTCAACTACTTTTTGAAGCAGTTCCTTTGGTGTTTTGTTGGAAATATCCAATGTTAATATTTGAATCAAATTGTCCGTAATGATCTGCTCCATATTTTTCCACATGAGGAGGTAATTATTCAGCTCTTCCTTCAGTGGCTCCATCTCAGGAACACTGGGGTAAGCGTCCTCTGGGAACTCCGGCAGCATAACTTTAGAACAGAAGTTCAAAGAGAAAAAGAGGCTTTGAGAAGCCTATCTCCATCACACTACAAAAGAATCTATACTTTATTATGTGTTTTAAACATTCAAAGAAGAAACGTAGCATTCTGAACGTTATTATAAATTTATAAATGCATATTCTAACATTATTTTATATGCTCTTAGATGAGTAATTACCTATTAATATAATTCAAATTATGTGGGTGATGAGTGAGTTTCATATGGAAACTTTAGCTGTTGATGCAAAGCATAAAACTAGATGAAAGAGCATTATGAACTGAATAATTATACTTTTAATGGATTGACATAAATAAATATAACTCATATTTATTTACTGAAAGAAAAATTGCCCCTATAGTGAGTGGCATTATTAGGAGGTGTGGCTTTGCTGAAGTAGGTGTGGCCTTGTAGGAGGAAGTGCGTCATTGAGGGGGTTGTCTTTGAGGCTTCCTTTGCTAAAGCTAGGCTCAGTGTGGTAGACAGTTTACTTCCTGTTGACTGCAGATCAAGAGGTAGGACTCTTAGCTCCTCCTCCAGCACCATGTCTGCCTGCATGTTGTCGTCCACCAGCAGTGGTGATAATGGACCGAAGCTCTGAAACTGTAAGCCACCTCAATTAAACGTCTTCCTTTATAAGAGTTGCCTTGGTCATGGATTTCTTTACAGCAATAGAAATGCTAACTAACTAAGACGGAAGTTGGTACCAGGGCCTGGGGTATCTCTGTGATAGGCCTGGCCATGCTCTCGTTTGGGAGGAATTTGGACTTTGAGAGTTTGGGTTATGAAAGCAGAGGAATGCAGTAAGTGCCACCTAATGGGCCAATAGTAGGGAGACAGCACATGGAGACAGTGGTGCTGAGTGTGGTTTGAACTGTGGGGGCCTGGCTCCAGAGCTTTCAGAGAAGAATATTAATTTGTGGCCTAGAAGTTGTTCTTGGGATTCTTTGGTGAAGAATGCATCTGCTTTTTGTTCTTGTCAGAAGAGTCTGCCTGAGGTTAAAGTGAAGAGATTTGGATTAATTCTGTTGATAGAGGGAATCTCAAAACAGCTAGTATTGACTCTGCCGTATAGTTACTAATGTTAACTCTAATAAAGAGTTATAATGAAAAGGAACTAACTAAGCAAAGAAAAACACAAAATAGTAAATTTGAGGAGAAAAGGAGCACCGGGAAGTTGAATGAAGCTAAATCTTACATTCAAGGAGATAAACAGATTAAGAAATGGAAAACAGGGAGGGGTGGCCATCCAGCTAGGTTTCCAGTTTGTGAAAAGGGATTAAATAAAAACTCAGAGCTGGCTGTGGTGAGCACACCTTTAATCCTAGCACTTTGGAGGCAGAGGTTGGCAGATCTCTTGAGTTTGAGGCCAATCTGTGCTACAGAGCAAGTTCCAGGACAGCCAAGCTTAGTCAGCGAAGGAAATCATGGCAAACAGAAAGCTGGTGAAGATGTAATTGAACAAGGGGACACGTTCCTGTCCCAACAAGAAGCAATGCTTGGCATCTTAGGCCACATGGTTCTGGCTTTAGAGTCAAGGATGTAAGAACGTGATTATGGAATCTTTTTCTGACACCAAGGAGAGCCTCTGGGACCAGGCATGTGTCAGGGGTGTCCCTGGACTGAGTCCAAGCGAGGCCATTGGGTGAAGCTGTGCTGGTGAACTCTGGTTTGCCTTGGAGAGCCGAGGGATACTGACAAGGAGAGCTGCTAGCGAGGTGTGGAAGCAGTCTGAGAAAGAAGCGTGTTGCAGTCAACAAAGCGGAACAGAGCTGCAGATCTGAAGAGCGTTTTTTTTTTTTTAATTTTTTCGAGACAGGGTTTCTCTGTAGTTTTTGGTGCCTGTCCTCGAACTAGCTCTTGTAGACCAGGCTGGCCTCAAACTCACAGAGATCCGCCTGCCTCTGCCTCCCGAGTGCTGGGATTAAAGGCGTGCGCCACCACTGCCCGGCCTGAAGAGCGTTTTGATATCTGACATGGAGATGCAGACTTTGGAGTTTGCCCAGCTGGTTTTCAGTCTTGCTTTGGTCCAGCATGTCCTCGCTCTGATTGCTTCTCCACATTTTGGAGCAGTAATGTATATCCTGTGACATTACATGTTGGAAGTATGTGATTTGGTTTTTGATTTTCATCTTACAGGGGATTGTAGGGATAAGTCCCGCCCCTTAAGGGGTGTGTTCGCCTCGGGCTAATGTCTGCCTATAAATTTGGCGAGCAAGCTCCGAGCTGCTCGCTTCTGCTTTCCTGGTCTCCGCGGGAACGGTGGTTCTGTAAGTCTATTTCTACATTAAAGCTATATATATATTTTTACACTCTGTCTGCATTCGTTTACGCCGCTACATTTTGGCGTCCAACGTCGGGCTATTTTGCCCCCTACTCAAGCGGGTAGCCGGCTAGCTAACACAGCACCCTCCCGGGTGCTGTTTTTCAGTTCGTGACTCCGGCCCCAGTGCCGAGTCCGAGACCCACTCGGCGACACAGGCCCATTCTGCCTGCCTTGGCTAAGTTTTGCAGCGGAACCCCACTGCCTGAATTAGCAGAAGCTCAAGTACTTGCGGTTTTGCAACAAAAGCTGCCACAGTGTCAGATTTGGTCTGTTACAAAGTGACTTGGCCGGTTGTGGTGGCGCACGCCGGTAGGATTTGCTGAAGGAGGCAGAGGCAGGAGGATCACAAGTTTGAGGCCGGCCAGGCAGTGGTAGAGCACGCCTTTAATCCCAGCACTTGGGAAGCAGAGGCAGGCGGATCTCTGTGAGTTTGAGGCCTGCCAGGCCTTGGTAGTGCACGCCTTCAATCCCAGCACTTGGGAGGCAGAGACAGGCGGATCTCTGTGAGTTCAAGGCCAGCCTGGTCTACAAGAGCTAGTTCTAGGACAGGCTCCAAAAACACAGAGACCACCACTGGCAGGAACCGATCATTGCAGGTAAAAAAAATTTCTTTTATAAATAAAATGTCTGAACACATTACTGTTCAAGAATTTAATGATTTTTTTAATTGTACCATGTGGGAGATTTTACAAGAGGTGTCTATCACCCCACATATATGGATCCTTCTGGGATTCATAGTTTTCATTGGCACCAAATGGTTTGATAATAGAAATATGATAAAGTCTTTACGAGACGAATCCAGGATTCTTAAGGTAGAGATTGAACGCTTAAAAAACAATTGAGAATGACAACAATCTTCTCAAGAATCAGTTTGAAGTTCTCCAGGCTGATAACAATCTTCTCAAGAATCAGGTTGAAGTTCTTCAGGCTGATGTTAAGGAGAAATTCATTAGTATGGAAGAGGGAACAGCTGATCTGGACCATAAGATTCAGTCCCTTTCTGTTGGAAATGAAACATTAACTGAGAGAATCAAAACTGCTGAATGTGACAATCGGATTTTGTCTAAAGCTTATGACAGATTGACGGAAAGATTGTCAATACAAGAAGGCACGGTTTATGCCATAAAAATTATGTCCAAAGATGAGATGTTAGCTCTAACGGACAAACTTCATAATTTAGAATCCTCAATGAAGGCTTTGGAACATAATTCTGGACAGGAGATTCAGACATTGCAGAAGGCAATGGTGAATAGAATTGAAAAGATTGAGGAATTTCTAAATTCTGATGAGGAAGAGCAAAGGGTAGAAAGGCAAATTTTAACTACATCTGTGGGTAAGTCTCTCCGGGACAATTTCCACAAAGCTCTACCTACAGCTCTACCTGCCTTTCCAGTAATAACAACAGAGAAGGTGATTGGTTCCAAAAACCCTAGGGTCATCAAGGAGGATACATGGGAGCCTGTGCGTATGAATGATCTCAAGGAAATAAAACAGGCTGTCATGACTTTTGGGATGCAAGCCTCTTTTGTTAAAGAGATGCTAAGATCTTGGGCCACGACAAGCAGAGCAACCCCCTCAGACTGGCTCCAGCTGAGCTCTGCGGTACTCGAGAGTGGACCGCAATTGAAATGGAAATGCTTATTCAGGCAAGAGGCTAGACTCTTAGAACAGCAGGAAAAAGCGAAGGGAATTGACATTTCCCTAGATCAAATTCTAGGTGAAGGGCCCTTTTCTGATCCTCAGGAACAAGCTAATTTGGATGAAAACACACTCTCCATGTGTACTACAGCAGCCTTAAGGGCTTGGGACAGGGTACAAGACCCAGGACAGAGAACGGAATCATTTGTCAGAGTTAAACAGGGTCAGAGAGAACCCTTTAGTGACTTTTTACAAAGATTAACTAAGGCCGTACAAATAGGAATATCTGACCCAGAAGCAAGACGTATAATGATTGAGTCTTTGGCTTATGAAAATGCAAATGTGGAATGCAAAAGGATTTTGGGTCCTTTAAAGCTCAGATCAGCGCCGTTGGAAGAATGGGTCTTGCATACACTCAATGTTGATACATTTGATTATGGAACTGAAGCATGGGTAGAAGAAGCAATTTCCAATGGTAAAAGGAGACACCAGAATACCAAATGTTTTAATTGTGGAAAAATGGGTCATATGAAAAGGAATTGTAGACAACGGATTTTCAGAAATAATAATAATAATGCATCGTTCAGAAATAATAATAATAATGCATCTTCTAGAAATAACAGAAATAGGAGGACTCAGCCTTCAGGTTTATGTAGAAGATGTGGAAAGGGCAGACATTGGACGAATGAATGCAGGTCTACAAGAGATAGACAAGGCAACATGATACAGCCGGGAAACATGAGAGGGGGGGCCTCACAGGCCCCCATGGCAAACATGGTTCAGTCATATCCAGTTTCTGCAGAGAACGTGCCTCATCAGGACAATTAGGAAGCCCCATGCCTACTGTTACAAGCAATAATGATCAGAAAGATAAGTTACGTGTGTTTTGGCAAACTTCTATAAATGATCAAAGACCTAAACTGAGAGTGTGTGTAAATGGCATTTTTATTACTGGCCTGCTGGACACAGGTGCTGATGTAAGTATCATTACCCCAGAATCTTGGCATCCGTATTGGCCTCTTCAGAATG